TCACCCACGTGGAACCCTCCGATAAACACTTAATCAGCACATGTTGGAACAATGGTGAAAGGAAGTAAGTGATAATTGTATTCGATGTTCTACTTCTAAATCCCAGACAATAAGTATCCGAGATGGATATTAGTAGGTATGTACAGAAAAGGAAACAAAATAATGAATAAAATTCAATGTCCCAAAAACTAAAAAAAGACATAAACTTTGCTCTGAAAGAATTAGGGCAATAAGTCATTTGTATAAATTCTGTGGAATGATAAAGGAGTAAAACAGTGTATATCAGCTTTATAGATGTATGCAATATTTTCCTCAGAAAAAACATGCTCTGTGTTATGCCTGGATGATTCCGTCTGGGATATCAATATCCGACTGGAAACGATAAAGAATATAATGAGATTAGGTTGTTTTTTTTGCTATTTTATGAATTATAATGCAATTTTGGATCATTTGCCTTTCTCATACATAATCTTACCAGGATCGCACTATAGCGCTGCATAGATAGATTGTGAAGAGCACTGAACCGTCTCTAGCTTAGAACGGGACCAGGAGGGAGCTCTATCAGAGGGTTTCATTATTTCGTCACACAATTGAAACATATTTCGGCTCATTAACTTTTAGATCTTGCATCTAAAACTCCAGTGAATAGGCAGAATTGTGTTTATATACGTTGCTTAGACGTCAAAGAAGCATTGCCATGATGCATAATGATTTTTGAAATATTACACATCAATCCAGGTAATTTGATTGGATCTAAAGCTCGAAGTGAGAGGGTATGTCTGTGATCTACCAGATACCCACATTCATATAACACAACATTTTGAAAAGAAAGCTTAAATCACCACGGGTGTGCTGGGTATACGATACAATTGTACGTTTATTTTATAATATTTAGTTAGTACGGTTCACTTGTCATCGCCTTTGAGCTGCGTGATGGTCCAACTCTCGTGTAATCTTGCTAGGAATGATGGATGTCCGTCTCCAAAGTCATGTCCACTACCCATACACACGAGTGGTCAGCGCTGGACAATCCAGCACCTAATAACAAATTAACGACCTTCAGTGTCCGCCCTTACAACCCTTTATGACCTCCAAATTGAGACAGCCTCACCCCTCATGAGCATAGTGAACATAGAATATTTCAATATTACAGTTCTAACACCTTTCTTCATTTACGAATTATTACATCTTGACAGCCTTGATGTTAAACTCTACCTTTCATCTCCGAATCCACTGCTTTCATCTTAACTGTCGTCTTTGTATCATCGTCGTCAATCTAATTAGGTTACTGTAGCATTCTAGCCACATCGACAGACCCGACTTACAGCTGGGTGGATAAATTAACATTTGTAAGAAAACGTAAATAAAAAAGAAAGGAAACGGTCCATGTGATTGTAGGTTGCACCGAGTGATCCCAGGGGTAATGGAGTGTGAGAGGTTGGGACGGGGACGCTCTGTATTGTCTATCTCGTAGGTTTTCTTACGGTTTGACATTTTAATCTAGATTTCAACTACAACAATCTAAGATATAATTTGAATTTGAATGCAGCGATATGACCTCAGAAACATAGGTTACACCTTGTAATGTACAGAACGTTAAGGAACAGCTAGCCACTAAATGTTAATGCATATTTCGTCTTAGGAACTATTCGTAAAAATATGATTGGATACAATAGGAAACTGATAACAGTAAATCATAAAAAATTGGGCTAAAATAACAGTTTAATCTTTTGTTTAAGAGCAACAATTAAGTACACACGGCATCAATATAAATCATACCACAAAACATATACAAAGCTAATTAAGCCTATTTATGGTAATCCGTGTAAAGATGGGCGATTTACATTAGACTGGTGTGACACGCGATCTATCTCCTGATCACTGACGTCCCCATGTACGGGCATGCATGTGCACGGCACGAGACAATGTAACACTGCTCCTCTGTCCGTTTGTGGGAACGCGTTTCTCTGAGAACTGTCACCTATGCGCGTGCATGTGAATCTCTCCGTCCCGACTCCCATTTATTTAATGTTTACTCAACCTCCTATCTCTCATACACGTCAAGCATAAACAGATACAGTGCACGTGAGCAGCGAGAGCATGTCCACTGATTTATGGAGAGTAGATTATTTTTACCTGAAAATACCACACAGTCATCAAAAAAATAACCCCGGGGCAAAATTAGATTCGTATAAAATAGATTTAATGGTAACATTTTTTAAATTGATTGATGCATCCGCTAATTGAATCGTGTATGTATTTCTCTGACACGTGTCAAACGAGAGAAAGGATTCTAGACACACCAGGAGGTCAAACGACTAATGTAAGGTCAAACGACTAATGTAAGGTCAAACGACTAATGTAAGGTCAAACGACTAATGTAAGGTCAAACGACTAATGTAAGGTCAAACGACTAATGTAAGGTCAAACGACTAATGTAAGGTCAAACGACTAATGTAAGGTCAAACGACTAATGTAAGGTCAAACGACTAATGTAAGGTCAAACGACTAATGTAAGGTCAAACGACTAATGTAAGGTCAAACGACTAATGTAAGGTCAAACGACTAATGTAAGGTCAAACGACTAATGTAAGGTCAAACGACTAATGTAAGGTCAAACGACTAATGTAAGGTCAAACGACTAATGTAAGGTCAAACGACTAATGTAAGGTCAAACGACTAATGTAAGGTCAAACGACTAATGTAAGGTCAAACGACTAATGTAAGGTCAAACGACTAATGTAAGGTCAAACGACTAATGTAAGGTCAAACGACTAATGTAAGGTCAAACGACTAATGTAAGGTCAAACGACTAATGTAAGGTCAAACGACTAATGTAAGGTCAAACGACTAATGTAAGGTCAAACGACTAATGTAAGATCAAACGACTCTACTACAGCAGGCCAGCCCCTGTTTATAACAAACTACCAGTGGCGTTGACAATGAATAAAACAATGATAAAGAAATACAGATATTTTAAACTACTTTTTATTTTACCATTTTTCGATAACTGCTTACAACGCGAGAACGCCTACATACCACGTCATCGCCGATCTGTGGCGAAGTCCTGTTTTGCAGATGTTTGACTCCCGACGTTCAGGTTAACGTTATCACATTTTAAACAGCGTCTTAGAAATTGTTGAGGCATTGTTTATTTCATGGCAGCTCTTCGTAAAAGTAACGATTGTGCGCATCTCATTTAGTATTAAATATTTGTATTTGAAATATAATAAAGATGACGTACAAAAATTATCATGTCGGCGAGAGTCTGCGAGAGTCTGCAAGACCAAAGTGCCACTAGCGTTCCATCAAGCAGAAGGGTTGGGATCTTCAAGTAGTCTTTATTTCTCGTTGCAAATTAAATAAATACCCGTGTATCCAGTTGGGAATTAAAGCATACAAAGAATTATTAAGCGGGACAAATGTTACTGAATAAAACTGTACATATAATTATAAGGTTTGTGTACTTTTACATTTAAAAAGTTGCAAAACGTGGAAATGTGACATTGTGAAGTATTCTGTGGGCAGGCACCTCCCCCTTTAGGCAGTATCAGTCACATTATTCGGAACACTCGAGTCATGCATGTTTTATATTTAGGATACAAGTACCCATAATGAGTCCTAAATGGAAAATAGAGGACATAGGACGCTGTAAGATATTTAATGAGGGCATAGGACGCTGTAAGATATTTAATTGGCCTCCTGCACGTACAGACAAAATTATCATTATTCTTTTGTGTGAGGAAGAATCAGTTTGGATTAAATCTGCTCTTCTGGTTTCACTAAAGGCATTGCTAATATAGCTTCTATGAAATGTAAACGAATACATTTGATGATATTCCAGAAAATTATAACAGTCGCGAAAATATTATATCGAGAATACGTGTTCAGTATTGATGGCAAAGCACGCTTTTAAATATACATAAATCATTGTTATATCTTTTGAGCCGTGTAAGAGAATTCAAACATGGAAAACGTCTTTAAATGTTAATTATACGCAGGTGCAAACAGTGGATTTGCGTGAGAGACGGGCCTACATTAACACTAATCTAATATATCGCCTACTTTCAGTTTGCGCATAATTAGTAAAGAACCATGCTGAACGGTTCGTGTTTCGAGATTGATACGATAGACTTATTAACCAACAATATTGTTATATATGCTTCGGGTTTGTGACAAGAGACTAGCGAAAATGAAGCTATTAAGGGTTATTAAGACACTTAATATGCTATTGTTGCCGTGACAGAATGATATGCTGATCATCATTTACTTTCCCATATAAGACTCCGCTAATTACTATGTGAGGGAGGCCTAGCTCGAGACCCGTGACGCTCAGACATTCAATGTCAGTTAGGCCACTTTTTGCAAGGTAATTTGATACTACACGACACAAAATGTTTTTTAAACAATTGTCAAATCAAAATAGTAGGACGTGAACTATATCTCGAAGATCAGATGGACAATATTTAAAATACTATCTTAACTGCCTTGAAATGCTATCCTGATTGGGATTACATCGTTTATGAGTGACATGCACGCGCTCATCCTGTATTACCGTATTCTTCAAAATAGGTTTTATAATAAATATTAAACAAACATTGATTTCGTTGATAAAGACACCTGTGGTTTCTGATCAAACAAGGTCATCTATTTCAGTGACGAATGTATCAACAACTTGCTGGTAGACAGCAACCATAGACCTATGCTCGCAGAAAATACACCCCCACACGTTTAATGTATCTAGACACAATAATGAACATGATTAAAAAAATGGATTACCAAAGTGTCACAGTACCACAATTCCAAAATCGACAAAACTAGGGCAAAATATGAACAAAAGAAAAATTAAAATAGATACCCTTGGAAAAGTACAAAGAGAATAAAACCAAGTGTTTCGGAAGGGTAAGCGTCTTCTTCTTCATCTCTTCATCGAAGGTACCCGTCGTGTAAATCTATGTCACATTCAAGTAATGTCACGTGCTCCCATTGATAAAGGCAAACTAAAGAGCGTAATCAATAACATCGACCTTCACATCACATACATTTCCCTGGAGATCACATGATCGCGACAAAACATCGACCTTCACATCACATACATTTCCCTGGAGATCATATGGTCGCCACAAAACATCGACCTTCACATCACATCCATTTCCCTGGAGATCATATGATCGCCACCAAACATCGACCTTCACATCACATACATTTCCCGGGAGATCATATGATCGCGACAAAACACCGACATTCACATCACATACATTTCCCTGGAGATCATGTGATCGCGACAAAACATCGACCTTCACATCACATAAATTTCCCTGGAGATCATATGATCGCGACAAAGTATCGACCTTCACATCACATACACTTCCCTGGAGATCATATGATCGCGACAAAACATCGACCTTCACAACACATACATTTCCCTGGAGATCACATGATCGCGACAAAACATCGTCCTTCACATCACATACATTTCCCTGGAGATCACATGATCGCGACAAAACAGCGACCTTCACATCACATACATTTCCCTGGAGTTCATATGATCGCGACAAAACACCGACCTTCACAACACATACATTTCCCTGGAGATCACATGATCGCGACAAAACATCGTCCTTCACATCACATACATTTCCCTGGAGATCAGATGATCGCCTCAAAACATCGACCTTCACATCACATACATTTCCCGGGAGATCATATGATCGCGACAAAACACCGACATTTACATCACATATATTTCCCTGGAGATCATATGATCGCCACAAACCATCGACCTTCACATCACATACATTTCCCTGGTGATCATATGATCGCGACAAAACACCGACATTCACATCACATACATTTCCCTGGAGATCATGTGATCGCGACAAAACACCGACCTTCACATCACATCCATTTCCCTGGAGATCATATGATCGCCACCAAACATCGACCTTCACATCACATACATTTCCCCGGAGATCACATGATCGCGACAAAACATCGACCTTCACATCACATAAATTTCCCTGGAGATCATATGATCGCGACAAAGTATCGAACTTCACATCACATACATTTCCCTGGAGATCACATGATCGCGACAAAACACCGACATTCACATCACATACATTTCCCTGGAGATCATGTGATCGCGACAAAACATCGACCTTCACATCACATAAATTTCCCTGGAGATCATATGATCGCGACAAAGTATCGAACTTCACATCACATACATTTCCCTGGAGATCACATGATCGCGACAAAACAGCGACCTTCACATCACATACATTTCCCTGGAGGTCATATGATCGCGACAAAACACCGACCTTCACAACACATACATTTCCCTGGAGATCACATGATCGCGACAAAACACCGACATTCACATCACATACATTTCCCTGGAGATCATATGATCGCGACAAAGTATCGACCTTCACATCACATACATTTCCCTGGAGATCATATGATCGCCACCATCAAACTTGTCTGAAATATTCTTCATTAATCTGCATCTTTGGAAACCCTGTCATAAAATAATGCTCTGGTGAGTATTAAGTTAAAACATTTGTACTATATATTACATTCTGATGAATAATGCCGTATTCGCCAAAATTGAGGGACTTGGTGTAAAGTAAAAACAAAGTCACAAATCTGTGTCACACAACTCACCAAATCGGGCATCACAAAACTGTCAGTAATTCTCAAAACAGCAGGATATTTACTCATCTTACGTTCCTAAGACACATTAGTAGAACAACTAGAAATGCTAAGAAAGAAAGCACCTGTTTAAAATATAGTTGGCCGTTGCCGAAAGCTTATAAAGAAAGTAAATAGTGTATTTACATCCGCCATTTCGACTATTTAGAACTTACCGTGGGTATTTATGGTCTAAAGAATAACATATATATATATATAATACATTGAAAAGGGTTATATGCCTATAAAACCCTTTATTACGTTATAAATGTCATTAAAGGGTAATTGATTCCTTAATACAATAGGTCATTTATACTGAAACTTACACTTTTATTTAAACTCTGTCTCGGGAACTAAGAAGCCACTAGCAGAGCCAATCACCTTGTTATGTAAACCAATCACTAGAAATACAAAGTAAATTGAACACCTATTTTCCGACACTACAGAAAAAGGTCCACTTTGTATAGAGCAAACCTCCTGAACCATGTAGAGCTATATATATATATCCAACTATCAAAATTACAAACTATAACAGCTGTCGTGGAGTAACATTAAAGTTGGCTAGATAAGACCACTCTGGGCCCAGTTGTTCAAAAGGTGGTAAGCTTAATCACTATTTAACGACATGTTTCAACCTTTAATAATTTCGTCAATATTCAAGGGGGAAAATCTCACAAATGTACATGTAAATTCACTCTACTGAATTTTTAATATCTGGAAAGTTGTAACTAATTCCATGATTTTGATTTACAAATACACAAAAAGTTAAATTTCCGCTAGTCACTAATTAAGCTATCCACCTTTTGAACAACTGCGCCCTGATCGCTTAAGACACAGACGTTATGTAACAAGTGGTTTGTGTGACCAATGGTAGCGGTAGCTAACTCAAACCAGGACAAACGATGTACTGAGTAGATGGAAATACATATTTAATACATTGTTCGTAGTGAGCTGATCATTATTGGTGAATGTGACGCTGTCGATGACAAGTCTAGCTAAAAGAATTATTGAAATGGGTTGTTACTGTATAAATTGTATCATGTGTCATATTATGTGTGTACTGTGTCCAACATTATATACTTTGTAATATGTGACCTCTTGTTACGCACGTAAACGTGTGGCGTGAGTGTAAAAAATAAAACTTGAAAACTTACATGTCTCTATGAAACAGGTCACGCTTGTAAATAAATAGTTTGTATCTGTTCTGTATGTAGGCTGCAGAAAATTGTATCACTAGGTATGCACCTAATCAAATCCAAAACTTTGTTTTTCCTGATATATCAAACGGCGATGATATTTGTGATATAACTCCAGCACCTCGCTTTACTATGCGAGTCACACAAAACTTCAACATTTCTTTTCCTGTTGTTATTTATAGATTTGTTAAATGGAAACAATCAAATGCATTATTTTCTAATGGTATTTTTATGGAAACATCAGTTAAAATGTGTTCGCATAACTTATGGAAGGGAGGCAACCCTAACATATTCGCTAGCATTCTTCATATTTGCAAAGGATGTCAAAATGTACCGCTGGTAAATAAGAAAACATTTTAGCTAGGAAGTATTTAAACATCCTTTTGACAAATATCCAATACGACAATACTCAAGGTATAACAAACTACCATTGATCTCTGTACTACACCGTCTCACGGACTTAGATAACATCTAATCTAATTCCGTGACCGTCCTGATGACTTAAATATAACCGGTATACTGTGGATGTGCCCATATTTGCTCTGCCTAATGGTATAAACTGCATTTGGTTTTTCTATACAAGTTTATTGTAATGAATCTTTTTACCTATACGAATGTACTGTCTATTACTTAACCATTACATTTAAAGTTTCCTTCAGCTTGAATGTTATATTTAAGCCAATGTGACACTTTAATATCGGTATCATTATAACGCTGTGTATTATTTTCAAAAACATTTATCCATAATCACAAATAACAAAACAGCACAACAACTGTTGTAAATGTTTGCTGGTGTGAAACTGAACAATACTAAGTATTGTGTTGATCTGAACTAGAATGAAGACTGTTACAGGGGAAAAGATTACAAATGAGTTTCGTCTGAACTAGAATGAAGACTGTTACAGGGGAAAAGATTACAAATGAGTTTCGTCTGAACTAGAATGAAGACTGTTACAGGGGAAAAGATTACAAATGAGTTTCGTCTGAACTAGAATGAAGACTGTTACAGGGGAAAAGATTACAAATGAGTTTCGTCTGAACTAGAATGAAGACTGTTACAGGGGAAAAGATTACAAATGAGTTTCGTCTGAACTCGGCTACCACTATAAGTATGACATCAGATAACATGTCCATAGTACGCACAACCAACGATTTACTTTTAACTGTTCAAATCTTACGACTACCAATATAATATTTTCAGAAAGTTGTGTTGTCGATTAAAAGTTGGATTTCTCTAAAATATTGTTCTGTTTGTTTGGTTGTTACGTCCTTACAACAGCCAGGGTTATAATTGTTGTACAACAGCCAGTGTTATAATTGTTGGACAACAGCCAGGGTTATAATGTACAACCGCCAGGGTTATAATTGTTGTACACCAGCCAGGGTTTTCATTGTTATTCAACAGCCAGGGTTATAATGTACAACAACCAGGGTTATAATGTACAACAACCAGGGTTATAATTGTTGTACAACAGCCAGTGTTTTAATTGTTGTACAACAGCCAGGGTTTTCATTGTTATACAACAGCCAGGGTTATAATTGTTGTACAACAGCCAGTGTTATAATTGTTGTACAACAGCCAGGGTTATGATGTACAACAACCAGGGTTATGATGTACAACAACCAGGGTTATAATGTACAACCGCCAGGGTTATAATTGTTGTACAACAGCCAGGGTTATAATGTACAACAACCAGGGTTATAATTGTTGTACAACAGCCAGTGTTATAATTGTTGTACAACAGCCAGGGTTATGATGTACAACAACCAGGGTTATGATGTACATCAACCAGGGTTATAATGTACAACCGCCAGGGTTATAATTTTTGTACAACAGCCAGGGTTATAATGTACAACAACCAGGGTTATAATTGTTGTACAACAGCCAGTGTTTTAATTGTTGTACAACAGCCAGGGTTTTCATTGTTATACAACAGCCAGGTTTATAATTGTTGTACAACAGCCAGTGTTATAATTGTTGTACAACAACCAGGGTTATAATTGTTATACAACAGCCAGTGTTATAATTGTTGTACAACAGCAAGGGTTTTAATTGTTATACAACAGCCAGTGTTATAGTTATTGAACAACAGCCAGTGTTATAATTGTTTTACAACAGGCAGTGGTATAATTGTTGTACAACAGCCAGTGTTATAATTGTTGTACAACAGCAAGGGTTTTAATTGTTATACAACAGCCAGTGTTATAGTTGTTGAACAACAGCCAGTGTTATAATTGTTGTACAACAGCCAGGGTTATAATTGGTGTACAACAGCAAGGGTTATAATGTACAACTGCCAGTGTTATAATTATTATACAACAGCAAGGGTTATAATTGGTGTACAACAACAAGGGTTATAATTGTTATACAACAGCCAGTGTTATAATTGTTGTACAACAGCCAGGGTTATAATTGTTGTACAACAGCCAGGGTTATAATTGTTGTACAACAGACAGGGTTATAATTGTTATACAACAGCCAGTGTTATAATTGTTGAACAACAGCCAGTGTTATAATTGTTGTACAAGAGCCAGTGTTATAATTGTTGTACAACAGCCAGGGTTATAATTGTTGTACAACAGCCAGCGTTATAATTGTTGTACAACAGCCAGGGCTATAATTGGTGAACAACAGCAAGGGTTATAATGTACACCAGCCAGGGTTATAATTGTTGTACAACGGCCAGGGTTATAATTGTTGTACAACAGACATGGTTATAATTGTTATACAACAGCCAGGGTTATAATTGTTATACAACGGCCAGGGTTATAATTGTTGTACAACGGCCAGGGTTATAATTGTTGTACAACAGCCAGTGTTATAATTGTTGTACAACAGCCAATGTTATAACTGTTATACAACAACCAGGGTTATAAATGTTGTACAACGGAGTGAAATATAAAAGCTTAGTTATATACACTGCTGTTCTGATAGGACATATTTCTACGCCATACAAGAGTACATATGATAGAAAATGTACTCAGTTCAAGCATGATAAGGGATTACATATCAATTCCATCAAATTAAAAAGTCACCTACGATAGAAGGGAGATAACCTGCACAAACTACTGTAGCATCGCATAATAATGTCCGTGAATCTTTGCAATGACGGGACCATATTCAAATAAGAGTGAAACACAATTGATATCCCTTTTACAGTTAATTATCGCAAACTATATTGTTATAAAAAACTGTAATGATAATATGTAGCATTCATCATGCAATGTATACGTACCAACTTGATCATAAGGTATCGACCATCACATATATGTTGTAAATTTGTCCAAATTATCTCCAGACTGATTTGATACTTTCTGATGTATTACAGTCGTTTAATCATTGAAATTTTCATTTGAACACAATTTATCTGTGTTTAAAAATATGAGTAAAATACAAGATGTAGGCAGACAAAGTTGTTCCAATCATTAAAAACTATATGAATTTTGATTAAGAATATATATCATTAATTTGTATTCCATGATAAAAGTCCTACATCATATTTATGAAAAGTGTTCCATTTTGGGTACCCTAACATTACCTATTACAGAAACTGTTACAGTAATATCGATATGATTCTTATTAAATAGGATTGCCATCTTGTTAAAATTTAGTAGCGATGATTTATAAGAGATACGCAGATTAGGTTCATATCCGACTAGCTGGAGAACAAGTAAAATTAAAATATATTGTCACCCATTTCAGGTATTGTCCTGTAGATTATGTCTTTGACCAAAAAGTCGAAAACATGCATTTTCTCTTGGTACTCCGGTTTCCTCCAATTTCTAGATCCCCGCGCGCTAACAGTAGGGCCAAAAAGAGTGTTAATATAAGCTGCAAAAACTTGTTTCATATTTTTTGTAAAATAAATGAAGTTTAAAAAAGACCTCAGCAGTGTCTAAGATAATTTCAATGTTTGACGTTTGACTCTAAAAATCGCCATCCCCCTACTCCAAACGTCTTTTCTGATTGCTTGTGGACGCTCCCGAGAAATATGCTACAAAATGGGCGAAGCGTGATTAAACAATAAGTCTGGTACACGTTTCGATGTGTTGAATCCATGAAACTTCTATAATTGAATGGCAAATGAATCTCATCATGTTTAAGGACAAATACTTTAAAGGCTGACCCTAGTGACCCAAACCATTGGCAAAACTTCATATCAAAACAAAATAAGAAAGATATATAATTTCTTGTGTAGATTTGATCACACACAAACGTCTGTCTCTGTGGTGCTATACGGTTCTAAACTATCTTCTTGTATATTGTCCTCAGAACTCAACAATGCATAACCTTGCACTAGCAATAACACAATATTTCAGTGTACTGAGACAACATAATATTTATTGTTTCCCTGAAACGAACCTTACTGACTACCCCACAACCGCAATGTGTGGATAGAACTGGGGAACACCACGGGAGAACACCGTCACGCCGTTATGGTAAAAGTTCAATAAGTCGGCTTCGGCCGCGTGACCTTTGTAGGGTACAAACAGGGTACAATTTGTGCCAGGATTGGAGCAGGTATTCTGCCATGTTAACAGGTATGCAACCTTATGGTGGAAGTTACCAGCCTTCATTACATTCAATACTTTATCAGTCCAGAACGTGTGTTGGGTATCAATACCATTGTCGCTGAGACCTATTTCAGTAATCGCAGCAATTTTCCCTTTGGAGTGAGCAAAGTCGGTTACAAGTTGCATGTACTGTGTCAGAACGTCAGGGTCGGTTGTGTGGGTGGAGTAGTAAAAGTCCATTCCAAGGACGTCAACGTAATCATCTCCTGGGTAGTACGTCATGTAATCTGTGTTGTGGTGAAGTTTCCCAGGGGAGTAGGCATACAACACATTGTGGACTCCTTTTTGATCGCGGAGGTATTCCACAACGTACCGATACAGTAGTATGTATTCGTGCGCGGTATTTTTGGTTCGGCTGTTTGTTCCCCACCAAAACCAATTGCCGTTCATTTCATGGAAGGGTCGGAATATGACCGGGATCTTCTTCCCGTGGGAATCGTACAGATGGTTTAACCAATGGGCAACAACGTCTAGACGATGTCTGTATCAACAACAAAATATATCTCTTTTACTAAGTTTGCAGAATGACTGTTGGCTGTTGTCGTCCGTTGACAAGTACTCATATATTTATAAACACAAAACATTGTATTGATTTCCAAACAAAATTGATTTTTTTAAATGAGATTAAGTGTTAAAATCGTAGTGTCGAAACTCAAAAGTTTCTGAGATTCAATGCGGATATTGCGCCGGTGTATCTGCGATCTAGTATGGCCATAGAAGTGTACTAGCTAGAATGTGTGTTTTAGCATCAGTGTCGTCATTTGATTGTATCAAATCGGACGTGTGTCGGTGGTCTAATCCTCTCTTGTATATGAGACTCAGTGACAACATTTGGCTACATGTACTTAAAATGGAGTATATCTAAACAATATAAGTGATTACCTTCCAGAGAATTTGATACAGCCGTACACACTGTTACGAACCTAATTAATAATTTGTAAATGATTTTTATACGCTGTGTGGGTGTCTTTGCTTAAGATATCATCTTAGGGATTTTTAAACATGGATCTATATCAATAATATTGATCATTAACAAATATCCGAAATACATATTTCTGTTTTACTATTTACTCACGTGAAATTGGCATGGTGATCTCCCCCGGGAAGTATTTTCCTGATAGAGTGAAGGACATTACCATTGTCTTTACTCAGATAGAAAGAGTGACCAGTGACGGGGTTGGGGCTATGCCAGCTGACTGTTATGACCATTCCCCTATCGGCTGCCTTTTTAGCTAGATAGGCTGCAATATTAAGCCGGAAGTCCTCTAAAGAGCCCAGATCCACGCCGAGTACAGCTGGGTACTCTCCGGTCACCCCCTTGACGTCACAGAGCTCATCGGGCTGATGGTTGCTTACCTGATGAGGCTACTCGTGAATAAAAACAAAAAAATAATTGTTGATATACAACTAACTATGCACACCGCAATAAACAATAAACAATAAACTGGGTAAATATTACCATTCCCTTTGGTCGATTTTCTCAGTGCATTCCTCTGGTTGTTATCATAATGAATTAAGGCATACGTCTGAAATATGTTATATGTTATAGTTTAAAAGATAGGAATCATTAAGCTCTAACATAAATGAGATTATTAATGATTGATGTTAATTACATAAAGTCGATAAATACCGAAAACGTCCAACCGCGTGCGCCATTTTGCCTGGCCTCTAGTACTTGGTATGGGCTATGGCCGCCCTGCGCTCCATGACCCGTGGCCAGTTGTTGTCCGAACATCACTTGTCGACTGTGTTGTAGTGCAACCATTTTACTGTACATGTAACTAGCCTCTGTTACTAGGCGACTGTCGACAGTACTAGAAGACGCCGTCGTAACCATGGCAACCACAAACGGCAAGTAAACCACGCAACTAACTGTCATTTTGTTATCTTCTCTGAAATTAAATTACATCATAATAGTTTTTGAATGTATAAAGGGTGTCTTTGTTTTGAACAATTTACTTCTATGCTCCATCATCAGTACCATAACACAACCGAACAAGAGGCATTATGGGCCTGTTATTTCATCGGATCGCCAACAGATATTTAATGCTGAAATTCTCGAAATGGCGACGTTGGAATCGTTTCGACACACGTGAGCTCTGTGACTTTGTTTGACCACATGGCTAGATAAATCTTTAAAAAAAAGGTTATTTGGAGTATTGGAAACAAATGATTTCTAATTGTTAGATCTTGAATGTTAGTCCACGTGTTCTCCTTACAATCTTTAAAGCTCTTCATTTGAGCATATAACTGTATGTCTCATGGTTCATCAGACATTAAACATTTACCCCTGTGATCCTAAGTGTGGGCCAACGGAATTTCGTTCAGTAACCCTTGGTTCTAGCAAGCTGCATGTTCGTGGGAAATGCCAGTTGGTTCCAGGCAAACGCTTAAAAATGTATTATTATATTTATATGACTCTACTTCCTATAAAAGCCACAGAGAAGTACCAAGCCGAGTCACAACTACAAGGGAAGGCATTTTAGACTGACAGAATGCGTAAGTTCTTTTAATAATAAGTAGTTGTTGATGTTTTTCAAAACGATGCTTGTATTTTCTCGATGTTCCTAATTCAACCAATCGTAGACGACCAGTGGCTAAAACTGTCACTTATCAAACGTCGTGCCTTTCTCACATTAAAACTAGAGGCTACAAAGTGACACCAACAAGCTGTCCAGTGACGCAGTAAGCTACAACAACAAGCTGTCCAGTGACGCAGTAAGCTACAACAACAAGTTGTCCAGTGACGCAGTAAGCTACAACAACTAGCTGTCTAGTGACGCAGTAAGCTACAACAACAAGCTGTCCAGTGACGCAGTAAGCTACAACAACAAGCTGTCCGGTGACGCAGTAAGCTACAACAACAAGTTGTCCGGTGACGCAGTAAGCTACAACAAGAAGCTGTCCGGTGACGCAGTAAGCTACAACAAGAAGCTGTCCAGTGACGCAGTAAGCTACAACAACAGGCTGTCCAGTGACGCAGAAAGCTACAACAACAGGCTGTCCAGTGACGCAGTAAGCTACAACAATAGGCTGTCCGGTGACGCAGTAAGCTACAACAAGAAGCTGTCCAGTGACGCAGTAAGCTACAACAAGAAGCCGTCCGATGACGCAGTAATCTACAACAACAAGCTGTCCGGTGACGCAGTAAGCTACAACAACAAGCTGTCCAGTGACGCAGTAAGCTCCAACAAGAAGCTGCCCAGGGACGCTGTAAGGTACAACAAGAAGCTGTCAGGGGACGCAGTAAGCTACAACAACAAGCTGTCCAGTGACGCAGTAAGCTCCAACAAGAAGCTGCCCAGTGACGCTGTAAGCTACAACAAGAAGCTGTCAGGTGACGCAGTAAGCTACAACAACAAGCTGTCCAGTGACGCAGTAAGCTACAACAAAAAGCTGTCCGGTGACGCAGTAAGCTACAACAAGAAGCTGTCCGGTGACACAGTAAGCTACAACCGTCATTAGAAGTATAACAGGACAAGCATTGGGGAAAGGTGAGAAGTCCTATGAGCAATGATATATGACGAGCCAAATTAACATTTATTCAAAAAGCAATGTCGATCCCGAATTTCATTCAACTATATAAGATACCTTATAAAGTATAGGAGATATCTTATATGATATGAGATATCTTATATAATATATCAAATGAGATGCTTAATAAAATATCTCATATACTGTATAGGATATCTCATTTTATCATATGCATGAACATTTCTCGCAATCACATTGGTCGGATCAGATACACATGACCAGTCCTCAAAAACTCATGTAGACTGGTTATCCGGTGAATATCGATTTCTAAATATAACCTATATGGAAATTCTCCGGAACCTGTCGTAGCGCATGCGCAGTTAGACCGGAACGCGATCTGTCAGACAACATTAGAAGATGGATACTGGCAAACGTTTCTCCTCCGTTACATCAACAAATTACCAAAACTGTTCAAGGAGAAAGATGCTGTTAACATGAAAAGGCCATTGATACACGCAGTGCATGTCCTCCATGCTTACTGTATCTTAAGAAACAAGAACCTAAACGATGTCTTCGAAAGCTACGATGCTGAACTGTTGATTCAAACTTGGCTAAATATTACACCGAGGCTTGCGTACAAAAATCAGAACCTTGAGTTTTGTTTTGTTTTGTTTTATTTTATTGTTGAAGCATATAATAAAACAGTTATGGGCTTTTGTGCTGGTAAATATGATGTGATATGAACCTGAAAGAGTGACATTGACCTCGGCTTCGCCTCAGTCAATATCACTCTTTCAGGTTCATATCACATCATATTCAGCAGCACAAAAGTCCATAATTGTATATTATTATATGCATGAACATTTCTCGCAATCACATTGGTCGGATCCTAAACACGTGACCAGTCCTCAAAAACTCATGACTGGTTATAGCCTATGTGGAAATTCCCCGGAACCTGTCGTAGCGCATGCGCAGTTAGACCGGAACGCGATCTGTCGGATGACATAAGAAGATGGCTGCTGGCGAACGTTTCTCCTCCGTTAGGAAAATTATCAAAATTATTTGAGGATAAAAATGCTGTTAACGTAAAAAAAAGGCCATTGAACACGCAGTGCATGCCCTCAATGCTTATCTTAAGAAAAAGAACCTAGACGATGCCTTCGAAAGCTACAATGATGAACTGTTGTATTCAAACCTGGATAAATTTTACACTGAGGCTCGCGTACAAAAATCCGAACCTTTAGTTTTGTTTTGTTTTATTGTTGAAGCATATAATAAAACAATTATGGGCTTTTGTGCTGGTAAATACGCCTCAGTCAATATCACTCTTTCGGGTTCATATCACATCATATTCATAATTGTATAATATTCACAATTCCTATGCATCCTTCCATTGCAATGCATTAAAAGGCAAATGTTGTTATGAGACTATAACAACATTTGCTATTGTAACGCCATTGCTGTCAACACTTGCTCTTCAAACACAGTTCGGAATAACTAAATAAAGCATAACTAATCTATCAGAATGTAAATATAAGTAATGAATATTTTAGCAAAGACTGGTATGGTCCTATAACACACGTTTCTAACTGGCTAATATTTCCCTATGTATGTGTATGCCTGCGTGTGAGCTGGAGATGTTTTGTGTTCTGTTTGTAGTGCGACAGTTCTTCCAGCGGTATCATTTATAGTGTCACTTGAATGCTACAGCACAGATACCGCAACATCCACCCCAGACGATGCTATACTCCACCTGGGTTGTTGGAGTTGTGAAGGCAGGATAAAAAACACTTCCTCTGAATATTCATGCGAGCGACGACTTCGGGGATCGAACCCCGGCCACCTGCGTGGAATTATTAATTTTGTCATGAATAGCAATGTATGTTATAGGACCATGACAACATTTGCCAAAACATTCATATAAGATATATAGCATTTATATTTAACTTCTATAAAAGATATCTTATATAGTATATCAGAGATATTATATATGGGGCAAAGAGGTAATTCCAACAGTGTGGACAAGTTTAGGTAGTCAAATTTACGGAGCGATCCGCTCCTTTTTCAAGACACAGTGAAACAGAACAGTTACATGTACATATACATCATATTACAAGAAGATAGAATTGATATACTATAATTGAAAATATAGCTATTATATAAAACCAATAGTCCCCTTGGCTAAAGACAACCGAAGGCAGCAATTAAGCTGAGAGCATTGCGGACAAGGAACGCTGATGTAGAGGACCTATTCTTGCGCAAGATGCAGATAATATATATAATATAAAGTGCGGGTAATATCTAAGGGACTATACAAGACATCTCATATACTACATAAGATATCTTATATAGTATATCAGAGATCTTATATATCATATATAATATAAAGTGGGGGTAATGTATCATATACTATACAAGATATCTCCTATACTACATTAGGTATCTAATATAATTTTATGAAATTCGGGGTCGACATTGCTCCTTGAATACATTTTTAGTCGACTTGCCATATTTATAGTCCGTATTGGTAACAAAAGTGGGGGTATTCATAATAGAAAGCACATACAAAAAGGGTGAGTGACAATTACCCGTACTGCTGTCCCTGTGAGTTCGTTGGCTAAAATCTCCCACAGTAAGTTATATTAAGTATGGTGTTTGGTGCCAAATAGTGCCTCGCCCAAACCTGCCGATAGATTAAGCTCTGGTGTGTATATAAATAGATATACTATCGTGTCTTTTTAGCAGGTGTCCTTCGGTGTGTCATGTTACAATACAAATAACTACAGTAGTATTAGAGATTCACAGCTAAGCAATAATTCACTGTTTTACAAATCACTAATAATGTGAAGGTCACATGTAACAATATTTATTTGGCCTTGGTTTTTAGGTAAGGACGGACAACTTGCACATCATAGAACATTTAACAAAAAAAAAATCAATTGGAATTCATACATATGCAATGCTGAAGAATACATTGGGGAGACATTTAGAAGCTGCATATATAATGAGTAAATAACGGGCATTGAAAAAGTGTGTAACTTTTAAACCGATTGCATTACCTTCAATATTTTCTATGATAAATAACGGTGAAACACAAGAAAATTTACGACAATGAATGAATAGTCATCTTTCGGTTGCTTGTGAGAGAACTGACGTTTATATCAATCAACAATCATTAACCGTTCTATTACAGTCGACCTGTCAATCATAAATTGATGAAATAGTTAAAGACAGTACATAAAATCTACATTGGTAATACAAATGTAAATCCTGCCGAAAAAATGTGTAAAAAATACCTAAACCATGTAATTTAAACTCCAAAGTTTAGATATGTACAATAATGAGTAGTATTTAAGTAGTATTTTAATAAACTGAAATATCTATCATTGTTCAAATTAATTTTCAAAAAACTTACACTCACCATTTCCAAGCTTGACAAAGACTCTGTGCCTGCTCTGGTTATACCGAGATAGCTTTGAGACTCCATCAGATTATTGATAACCGGGCACAGATTCTACACTTGTACGGCTAGCCACGACCCTCAGCTTAGAAGTATTGATAGGTGAGTATGCCAATAAAAGGGTAAATGTCATCAAAAGACCGTCGCAGCTTACATACCACCGTGAGATATACAGCTTCAAGCAAAACCCACAACTGAATTCCGATGATCTTAGAGTGCATATAATAAGTATGTAGTAAGTGCATAACATTCTAAATATTTTCAATAATGCTACGAGAGCTTTTCGCGGAAGGTCCAAAGAAATGCCAATTTCAAGGTACTGCTGGACTACGCGAGACAATGGGCGAAATGAGAAAGGGGCAAAATCTGTCAAATTCATTATTTTAAACAGAATCAACAGTTTGCAAACAAAAACACTGATCTGTGAATCTTGCTCCCGATGTCCAAACTACACTCGACGATCTGTAACAAACACTTTCCTGCCTGAAAAACGAAATAGGCTTGTTTGATGTCCAAGGAAATCCTCTGTAACTTCTTTTTTGTTTGCAGAAGACGAAATATAGCTTATCACTCCTCTTATTTAACATATTTCCGAATACAGCTCAATGACAATGCGAACCAGTCTCATTTCCATTGGATTACGAACTTTCTAAAGAATCCTTATCAAAACGTTTTATCGCTTGTTCTGCGAGTTGCTAAACCAAGAGATAATCAAAACTTCCCACTACTATTCCTAGAACCATTATTAGGACTAGTCAGGTATTTACACTGTTTACTCCAGAAGTGGACTTATATAATGTGGATGTTGAAGCACCCAAACGAAACTTCGATCAATCTTGAGCGTCCTCTCCTCAAAAATATTTCTTCTTTCAAAACAGTGGACTATCTATTCTTTTATAATGACAGGTTTCTTTTTCTTTTACAGGAAAAACGAACAGCGATATAAGTACCCAGCTGTAAACAATTTAGGCGCGTAGTTTGTGAAACACGCGACAATGCCCAAGCTGAATTATAATTAGGATGAAAGTCGTGATAACGATTCGAGTTCCTGGTTGACAATATCTGTCGAGTTCAGTGGCTACATTTCCCAGCATCCTGTTGGCATCCCCATGGGAACAAACTGTACCCTCTTCTAGCCGACTTGCTATTCTCATACAGGAGGTTAGATTTATTGAAGAGCTTATTAAGGCTGGTAATGAAATACTTGCCAGGTCCTTCAGTTTCACTTTCAGAAGTAAATCGTCTCCTGTGGATAATATTAGGTATGTTTCGACACACATTGTATTTTTTTCTAGCATATGGTGTTGGAAGGGACAACATGAAGTGCAGTAGGTTGAAACAAATTGGCATCCTGGATAAATTGCCACGTAAAAATAGTTAAAAATACGCACCATCAAATTGTTAAATAGGAAACATAGGGCGACGTATTGACGAAATGGGTGTCCTAATTCATGTTTTAGTTCAGATATGCTAATGGTGATTTTTAACCTGGATTTAAAACGATATTTTCTGAAAATCTTCCATCTTCATGCTCACAAGCACCGCGAGATAAACGTCGGTAACTAATTAAGAGTATGATTGGCTCGATTACTTGACGTTATGCTTTTACACAACTTATATTATATATCGTTTGTTTTCTAGGAAGAAAAGTCCTACCAAGATATCTGGGAAGCAAAGTCGTTATCGGGGGTATCCTAGATTTTGTCAAAATTAGAATACTTGTAATGTATTAAAGGCACATACCGTTCAAACCCATATTTCATTTATTGAATGTTCGTGTCGTCTGCACTGCCAATTATGTTTCCTTGATATCCCCATCAGTTTGACCACTCGAATTGTTCGGAAAAATGTACTTAACCGTGATGTCCCTTTAATTAATTCTTTATTTCAGAGCATTCTTATTTATATACATATCAGACATGTAAGAGCGCTCACACCATTTCTTGGAACTTGTCCTTCATAAAATACATTTATAACAATAACCTTGACATACAATGTACGTATGTAAGTGTTCTACTACGAGTAATTTACCGAGGACACAAACACCTCGTAGATACCAAGCCAGGTCTCATAGATACAACAGACACTCCATTCAATCATGACATTAATATTTATTGTATCGCGCGAATCTGTTTCACAGTTGGTTACATGTAAATTTCAAACACAGATAAAAACGTGACTGGCGTTAACGATGGGGAAGCAGCGGTATGAAGGGGTTGAGGAAAGTCTCTATCAATTTACCCAAACTGATACAAGTAATCAACGTCTGAACTGCCAAGCAGACCCCCCTTATATTATCATTAATAAATGCTCATCTTAGGCGTACTGCAGTTCCACACACCTGGGATATTTAACTATATTGTTAGTTGTTCTAAATTAACAGTTAAACGTGTTTAAGTCAAATCAAATTTTGTATATAAGCAGTTAAATGGTAGATTATCTCCCTTAACTTGTGAAAAAACCTGTTATCCTTATTTTTATATTTTACACATGTTTGTCATAATAATTGCTCTCAAGAGTTAATTTTCTTTGTTTACATGTATATGACTTTTAAGTTAAGTTTCTTGTATCTGTATCTAGAACGTAAATGAGGTTTTTCACATATAAAATTGATCTAAAGATGGACTCTCGGCTCCAGATTGCCTTAGTAATTTGTATCAATTCGAGAAAATCTCCTGAAAGCTTTCATTTTACAGAACAAAGCATTCTCCGATTGACAGTGTAGTGTGCAACTTGTTCCAGAGATTCACAGATGAAACATGCAACAAATGAAAATGAAATCACTTGTAATCTAATTTACAAAACCAAACTTGTATAAATGGAAAGACTGAAGCATATTGAAATTACAATACCCATGGTATGGAATTGCCATCATGTGAACAATTATTTAATGTCATTTTTGTTCCTCAATAAAGATTTAAATAAAATCACAATGTACATGAAAGAATCAATTATGTAATCATCAACTCACAATCAAAACGGATACAGGTCAATTGTACAATACTGCTTTCCTATTCCTATGACCTTTGACTTGACAAATGACCTTGAACACATCACCTTGACATCAAGTTACAGTACTGCACAGTTACTTCAATAGATCAATAGTTGTCCTTTTTACAGCGGAAAGTCGGATGTTTTATTTGCACATGTATACATGTAAAAGACCACTTTGTAGAAACATAACTGTACTTATCACAACAATGGCAGATATCTAGCAGTGAGGCATCCCAAAATTGTCATAAGCTTAAAATGCATTTATGAGTTCATACATAGATGAATGGATATACGCTCTAAAACCTCTCGCCCGAAGGTTATGGTTTATGTATTTTCTTGTCAATGAAAACAGCCTTAAAAGCCACTCTTAGGAGGTGAACACTTCACCTTAAGGTCTGGGATTCCAGCATAATTCATTTGACAATTTGTTTTGTTCACACATGACGATCAATGTTCAACTGAGATCTTATGTATTGAGTACAATCAGTGTTAGCACAGGAACTTGTAGCATCATCCATACAAATAATTTATGGTGATGAATTATACAATTATTACTGATCATTCTACAAACCCCTGTGTGCTGGTACATGTCCTCGCCATATAACATGATAATCATTTCACAATAAAGCTACATCTATTAAAGCAACAGAGATATAAAGATTGAGGTTAACAAAAACAATTGGGTTCAAATATGGTAAAAATGGCTCATTCAAACCTGCTCTTTAGGACTTTCAACATTATATGTTCTACCCTTACAGACCTACCAATACAGTACACTAAATTGGACTTTATACAGATAACCTGTATGAATGTTTTTATACTCTGACCTTTAGCGTGGTAGTGCCTTAATTCAAAAACTGTGTCATGATCTGTATAAGTAAGCAACAATATAATATTTAAACAAGCTTATGTTGAAGGTATTACTTTTTCACCACACATTAAGATAAGATATGCACAAAAAAGCTGACCTCTGAGGTAAGTGGGTCATGATTCTAGGAGTGACCTCAAGAGGTCATGGGTCACAAATTAATGACCTCTGGGTCATAGGTCAAAACTCCAGTAGAATACATCAATCTCCCTAAACACTGCCTGCTCGTGATCAATTAACAAGCTCTACCATAAAAATATCCATAAACAAGCCAAAACCGTATTTACACCTCTACACAACAAAAGGGCTGGGTAGCAAAAGTTACGAAATTAAAAAATAATTATTGCAAATAAATAAACCAACAAACTTCATAACCTCGTTCACATTCCACAAACCCTGCTTTAAATAATGTACAATATATTTGGAAAGACAATTCATTTGTAGCACTAGCTGGTAGATCTCACAGTGTAGCATACAATTACTAGCTAGTACATTATATTACATGTACATTTGTACCAATGCAGCAGAAAGCAATAGCATATCTTCACTCAAAATGTCGAGATATCATCAATATTTTGCAGAAATCATAACGAGAGATTGAATTTCATTTTTCAATAACTTACATCTGATTTGTACATCTATCTTTCTTCTGTAACTAAATTATGCATATCACAATTGTCCTATTAAGGCAGGTAACTCCATTGTAATTTTACAATATGTAACACTTGTTACCTGTACAATTTTTATCTGTACAGTCATTGAATCACATTGTTGTACTGGCGTCTTGGCACTGAAATAGTGTTTTGTCAAAGATAGCAGGTCTGACTAGACATTAATAAAGTCTGAGGTATCTATGAACAGCCCTTCAACGCTCTACTGTGTCTCAAGTAAGGCTGTCGTGAGGAGGAAATGGTGTCTAGGACAAGCTGACATTGAACTTTACCATTGCATATACCACAACCATTTAAAATCAATTGTACCAATATCTCTATACAGCTCAAAAAACCTAATTAACCAGTGTGAACTTGTACTAGTCACAGCTCAAAAACCTAATTAACCAGCGTAAGCTTGTACTAGTCACAGCTCAAGAAACCTAATTAACCAGTGTAAACTTGAACTAGACACAGCTCAAAAAACCTAATTAACCAGTGGAAACTTGTACTAGTGACAGCTCATAAAACCTAATTAACCAGCGTAAGCTTGTACTAGTCACAGCTCAAAACCCTAATTAACCAGCGTAAACTTGTACTAGTCACAACTCAAAAAACCTAATTGACCAGTGTAAACTTCTACTAGTCAATGTTATATTGGAGCTCAAAAAACCTAATTAACCAGTGTGAACTTGTACCAGTCACAGCTCAAAAACCTAATTAACCAGGGTGAACTTGGACTAGTCACAGCTCAAAAAACCTAATTGACCCGTGTAAACTTGTACTAGTCAATGTAATATTGGTGTTCACTGTAAACTTGTACTAGTCAATGTACTATTGGTGTTCAGTGTAAACTTTTACTAGTCAATGTAATATTGGTGTTCAGTGTAATCTTGTACTAGTCACAGCTCAAAACCCTAATTAACCAGCGTAAACTTGTACTAGTCAAAGCTCAAAAACCTAATTAACCAGGGTGAACTTGGACTAGTCACAGCTCAAAAAACCTAATTAACCAGTGGAAACTTGTACTAGTGACAGCTCAAAAACCTAATTAACCAGGGTGAACTTGGACTAGTCACAGCTCAAAAAACCTAATTGTCCAGTTTAAACTTGTACTAGTCAATGTACTATTGGTGTTCAGTGTAAACTTTTACTAGTCAGTGTAATATTGGTGTTCAGTGTAATCTTGTACTAGTCACAGCTCAAAGACCTAATTAACCAGCGTAAACTTGTACTAGTCACAACTCAAAAAACCTAATTGACCAGTGTAAACTTCTACTAGTCAATGTTATATTGGAGCTCAAAAAACCTAATTAACCAGTGTACACTTGTACTAGTCACAGCTCAAGAAACCTAATTAACCAGTGTAAACTTGTACTACTCAATGTTATATTTGTGTTCAGTGTAAACTTGTACTATTCAATGTAATATTGGTGTTCACTGTAAACTTGTACTAGTCAATGTAATATTGGTGTTCAGTGTGAACTTGTACTAGTCACAGCCCAAAAACCTAATTAACCAGCGTAAACTTGTACTAGTCACAACTCAAAAAACCTAATTGACCAGTGTAACTTGTACTAGTCAATGTTATATTGGTGTTGAGTGTAAACTTGTACTAGTCAGTGTAATACTGGTGTTCAGTGTAACCTTGTACTAGTCACAGCTCAAAACCCTAATTAACCAGCGTAAACTTGTACTAGTCACAGCCCAAAACCCTAATTAACCAGTGTAAACTTGTACTAGTCTATGTTATACTGGTGTTCAGTATAAACTTGTACTAGTCAATGTTATATTGGTGTTCAGTGTAAACTTGTACTAGTCTATGTTATACTGGTGTTCAGTGTAAACTTGTACTAGTCAATGTAATATTGGTGTTCAGTGTAAACTTGTACTAGTCAATGTTATATTGGTGTTCAGTGTAAACTTTTACTAGTCAATGTAATATTGGTGCAGTTAACACTCGCTAATAATTCCCAGGTAATATGAATGTTGAAATAACCAATCATAAACACGACTGATCTAACCAACTAAGACCTTATATTAATCACGACTGACATAACAACCAATCACAAACTTGACTGATGTAACAATCAATGTTTTATTTCCAACTTTGTGCATTTTTCCCCATCATTGGATTTAAGAATTTGCTATAGCATCATGAATATCTTCCCCACCAAGCATTTTCAGTGTTTCTCCATAAATACTTTAAAATTAGACATACCAACTGCATCGTGAACACTCCGACTTATGATAAACATGGTTGACTAAGCTATCCAATAAAACCCATGTTGCTCTATCTTATTATACCTTTGACAATTTTTTTATGTTACTTCCATAAAAAGTATAACATTATTAAGAGAATTTTGTACTTGTCAATAACATCAGCTAATCTACTGCACAGTGCTTTAGTTTTTCATTAGCTTATGTGATAAACACAAACATCCTGTGTCCACTTTTGTGTATGTGTGTTTCTCCGAACATCAATCAATAACTGTAACAATCTACAGAGTAACGCAGATCGGTTGATGGAATCAGAAAAAGAAACCCACATGTTTATCATACAGATTCATTAACAGTATACAACACATATCACTGGATGAAAGCACTGTGCAGTATGGATCCCTCCACTTGTTAAATCTACCGTTCTTTAGGCACGCATATCTCTAGTTTAACTAGATTCTGTATCTAAACCAATGCTACAAATCTGTTCCAGGTTGCACTCAAACATCCTACAACTTTTGTTTTTAGAAAACAACTGTTGTTGTGTGGATGCTTCAATAGGAACACTCAGATTCGTAACAGCAGTTATCTGTGTCAACATCTGTTCCAATCTAACTTGATCCAAAAATAAACATGTCTACCCCAGCAATAAACTTTCCACAAGCCTTGGCCTCAACTTTTCATTTTGAGTATTATTAACCTCAATTTGTATACATGTCTACAACCATTCATAGTACATATCTGGAACCAGCCTTAAAATAACCCTTCTACCAGAAATCTCTTCACCTGACTCTGCTGTTAGAAAGTTAATAACAGAAATCTGTCTTCACCAGACTCCGCTGGTAGAAAGTAAATAATAAGGGTGACTGTTTCTGCTGTATCGTTTTTTTCCTAGCAATAACTTTTCAAAAAGCAGATGAAATTGACAAAGACCTATTGAAATTTTTGAAAACTGATATTTCTATGAATAAAGATTTCGTGTGAGAAACCTAGGAAATGCTTTACATTGTGGGGAGCTAACTCCTACTTATTAAAGTTAATAAGGATATAGTTAGTGTAGGGTATACATAGTACAGTATATAATAATATGTCGCCCAATAACAAGGGCTGAAAGTGGTAAATAACCCAATACAATGCCACTGTTGTCAAATATAAAGTATCAATCCACTATATAGATATCATATACAAATCACTGTGGCTTTCTCACCACAAAACGGGAATAGACAGGCTGGTTAAGGTGGACTTTACCTCAATATCACCATTACAGACTATTATATGTGATATTTCATAGAATGTCTACACGTGTATATTTATGTTTTCACTGAACAACTAAGACTTACTTACTGTTGTTTCACAACTGATCATCACCTATATCTAGTTTTGACGAAGTGACTGATTTTTTCACAACAGCTCATGGAATGGCAAGTTGTATTGTCCCAAAACAGCCTCAATACTACACATAATACACATAAAATATGTGGTTAAATACACCAACGACAACACACAATATCGGCGGCATGTATCGCCTAGTAAGCTTTACAAAAGCCTACAATGTTCCTGCAATATTGCAATGCAAAATAACACATGGCAGTGTAGTCTATCTCTCTCGTAAATCTCATAACCTAACACGTCAAATCTCAACAGTGTCACACTCTGATAAATGGTATGGTTACATATTGCATGAAGACGCGGCACAAGTGTGACAGAAGACATCCGTCTAGATCTACCGTAAGTAAAATAAATAAGTGTCTAAACCAGTATCTGCCCGTACACAACTTCTCTTTACACCACACACTCCAGTAGAGGCCGTGCTCTGCTTATTTCAGGCTGCAAATCATGATGATGTTACAGTTAACAAAAATCTACATTAATCAAATATTATGTGTACAATATTTGTTAAAGAAAATTAATTTCATGCCTTAACTAATATCTTAATAGGATGTAGGCTGATATAAAACAGTACCATAATCAGTGGAATTATTTCTAAGATCCCAAATATGATCAAATTAGCACCTTCAGCTTCCTAGCCAGACGAGGGTGTAGAGTTTGCTGGGTTTGTTTGTGTTTTACATCCTATTAACAGCAATGGTCATAGGTGTAAAGATAGGTGGCAGCCGAGGGTGTAAAGATAAGTGGCAGACGAGGGTGTAAAGATAAGTGGTAGACGGAGAGATACGTCTCCTAGGCAACACCGTGACAGACACTTGTCCCGACAATAAAACAACACAGTTGATGCAGCCAGACTGAGATGGAATGCAGTTAAATTTTTGGTGTATGAGAATCCTCTACAATAATCCTAAGTGTATGTTGCCATGATAACACACTAATGATGTTGCCATGGTGATGAGGCAGTTGTTCCTTGTGCCTATATAAGACAAGCAGCGATGAGACAAGATGTCATCACTGCTGTAGTAAGTTCTCACTTGGTACCACTACCTGTAACAAAGGTCAAGGTCATATATTTATATCTATTTATATATTTAAGTACCGATTAAGAAGGTTTAATGTCAAATATGTTGCTGTAGATATTGACATTGAAATAAACTGATGATACAATAAATTATTTCTGTACAATCTTAACTGTTTTTGTTAGCCTGAGTATGAACAATTCAATATAAATTATTACAAAGTAGGGCTGCAACGATATACCGTGCAATGATATATTACCCTAATTTGAATACAGTACAATACACAATAAAAAAAAAATGAGGTCATAATAAACTTTCAATATTTTCCGCATTTTGTCATCTTCTGAATTTAGTCTACTCATATCTGTTTCAACAGAGTGAGTGAGGGCTCCAGCTCGGCAAGCACGTCGACACATGTGACTTGTGTGAAACTTGAAAGTCATTCTCATTTTGGACTAAGTCTATTTCCAGTTGTAATATTGCCATTAAAAAATTTGAAACATATCTTTTCGCTTTGCTTCTACTGTTATTATATGTATTGTAATAGGTATCATATATTGACCACAGTATTCTAATATGTACATATAGTCATGTTACTGTATCGTTGCAGCCCTGTTACAAAGTGAAACATAAGCAAATATTTTGGAGATATTATCTTTGTAATGAAATTTCTTTTTCAGATTACAGTAGAACACATCAACACTGACTCAACATATATCATATATTAACTATATATTGTTTCATGGTAAAAATGTGTGCACCATTACACCCCTAACATCAAAATAAGTTACCAACTTACCAGGCTTCTATGCGTGAGGCTCGGCTTTAGCCTGCACCACCATACCACCCCCGCGGATAGCTGCTTGAGAAGAAGAACCACCTGGTGGGTGTCCGGGGCGAATTGGTTTGGCTGAAATACAACAATACCTGGAGTTATATAAAGCTCATTTCATTGTGACTTTTTGGTAGGCCTAATTTTGTCTGAGAATTTGCAGTTAAAATATTTGGTATCATGCATTGAACATTTATTATAACAATACCTAAAGACATGGTAAGTTTGCCATCCTTCAAAGACACCTAGTGTCAGGGAATTGTTGTTCATAGTTATATAGACATCTGGGAACCTTTCATCAATTATAATTAGAAAACTTCTTTGAAATTTCTGTCTCCAAGTTCCAAAAAAATATATATGGATGGACACATGTGTGTGCCTCAACAACCAACAAACTTATACTCACCTATTGAAGCATCATGCATTGAATTTAAAATTTGCCCGCCTTCAAAACATCTAGTAATCTAACATTCATAGTGATAAAGATCTCTGGAAATTATTTAACACAATAAAAAAATGTCTCTTAAGTGTGAATTCTGTCTCCATAAACCAGAAAACAACATTTCTTCTAGTAATGTATATGAATGGATATTTTTGTGTCCCTAAGCACCCAACCAACTTAAACTCACCTATCTGAGCAGCGTGGCCCCGCCTAGCCAGGTTCTTCTGTCGGACAGCTTCTTTAATCCTGTCCACTTCATGCTGATATCTGTGATAAAAATTAGCCAATGAAAGTCAATGTTGGTATAAACCAATCATAGCCATGGTAACAACCCCATCCATAATTCCTACATAAAACCACTGAAAAATATAAAAAAAAAATGTGTTTAGTTATAAATGTTGATGGCATCTGAAAACTATCCTAGAAATGTTTCATGACAAGTATTTTGTAAATGATCGATAATGTTAATCATGATTTTTATGAATTTCAAGTTCTGTTTTATAACTTTTTATTAGTTGCAATTGATTTCTATTCCTACAGTATAATGCACTTATGTAGATTGTCAAACAAAAAGGTTGGTTTTTATATATTAGGTTATGTGTACAAACAATATCTACATATAAAAATCCTGATTTTCACTAGCTCACATCGACACTTTAATTTGAAAGCTTTTACAATGAAAGATCAGCTTTTATGAAACAATTTGTAATTATATTTAACAGTGGATTACATCAAGTCTATGTATCATACCAAATAATGTGAGTGACAGGATTTGAACATGTATTACAATAACAGAGTATAATTTTTACCAAAAACTTGTACGATAACCAAATGTGAGCTATTGGTATCCATAAAACATAGTGAAAATAGAGGAATTTTGGGTAATGACATTCAATAAAGGACAAAAACATAGGATCAACTCACAAAAATTTGTCATGAAACTTCTAAGATGATAAGACTGACACTAATGTATGCAAAATCATGCTTACAAAGCTGAAATAAAAACAGGCAAAGCTTCGGAACACCAGGCTGCTCTGGTCTACCTTTACAAGCACAGGGCTTGTATCATCTTAGCATAGTGACACAAGCCCCTGTAGCTGTGACGGGATCCTGACAGCGGACACTCCAGGCATGTCTAGATCTGTGCACTAAATTTGGAAACTGAAATCAGGTGAATCTAGAAATTTGATACATAAAACCTTCTACACATGATCACCACAGTGCTGATAGCCTCTAACTTTATACTACATCATATATAGATTTCCTCTCTTCTTTTTTTTTTTGGGGGGGGGTGGGGGCAAGCTTTCTGGGTTTTGTTGCTGGATCAGATTTGCAGGGGTTTGTTTTCCAGTTTCCAGGCATCACTGTTTGTATACATGATTTATATAATGGTCAGTGTCCTCACTCTGTCACTACAGTTTTGACAACCTCAAACTTTATACTCAATCACAATTTAATTTGGCAGGGAAAAGCCATCTGGTTTTGTTCCTGGAGCGAATATGGTTAGTTTCCACACATCACTGTTATATATATAATTAATAGTCAATGGTCCTAACTCTTGTTTTGCAAGGGTTACTCTACATTCGTGGAATAGGCTTTAGAGAGTGTGGTTATATCATGTAGAAGAGGCTATATATACAGACAAACACACAACATGACGGTGAGAAGAGGAGAGAGACACGGGCAGGAGATACTTTCAGGTAAGATGTAAGGCCACAGTGATGAGGACAGTCGCTGTCCAGGGTTGGAGGGAAGACCGGGATTAACCCGGTCTGTCGCCGTCCGTAAAAAGGCACTAGTTCCAGGCTCCGTGTGTCCTTAACATGTTGTCTCATACTGGCAATGAGAAAACACAAATTCTTCAACCTCAACTTTATATCTCACCACAATCTTCTCTCTCATCACCCTCCTCTATGCTTCTCCCTTCTCATCAACCTCTCATATACCTCACCTTCTCTGTTAGCACTGTTAAACTTATTGGTCAGGAACTGTTTGCTTATGAAATAGATAGATCTAATGGTCTGATATTATTCAGGTACTGGCTGTCAAGACCTACTAAAATTTTACAGACCCACAAGATTTACCCCAAAAAATTTTAGAGAAAAAAAAGAAAAATTAGTGGCACTGTTTCAAAAGAAAAGGCTCAAAGTCTGAAACAAGAGGCCCATGGGCCTTAAAGGTCACCTGATTTATGTAAAAACTGATGTTATCGATGTTGCCAAATAAAAAAGAAATCATTTTGTAACAAAAGTAACTTAAACTACATGTAATGCAAAAGTAGTGTGAAAGATCTGGGTAGTATATGAACTATGTACAAATAGTGGTTCTGTCGGTCAGCTGTATTTTGGTAAAGCATCTTAAGACCTTTCATAGATATGAAGAGTATTTGATTCTACCATATCTGGATCTTGAGAAGAAGATTGTTGAAATTTTAGTCAATTTGACCCTTTTTGGCCCGCCCCTCAGGCCCCTGGGGGCTGGGGATCATATAATTCACAATTTTGGTTGACCTTTGGCCATGGAAGGTTTCTGCAAAGTTTCATTGAAAATGGTTCAGGGTTTTGGAAAAGAAGTCGAAAATGTCAATTGTTTACGGACGCACGTCGGACGCTGGCGGACAAAAAGCGATCGCAATAGGCCACTTGAGACTTTGTCTCGGGTGACCTAATAAAATGCCTCTTTTAAAGTACAATATACTGGACTTTTACAGAACAAAGGCTGGTACATGTACAACTAGTGACTTTTGAGGATGGAATGATTAAGGCTAGCCTGGACAATGATTGGTCTTCTTGTGAAGAAGCCATGCCACAATTTGCTGCAGCCAAGCGTTTTTGTTACATGATAAAACTTATATCTGGTTTCTTTAAGGCAGTTCCCACAAATTGTCACCATAGCACAAACTCACAGAAACAAAGTGACCATGGCGCAACACACACAGACACAAAGTGACCATGGCGCAAAGCCATATACTAGGAATTGTCATTACATCAACAAACCAATTAAGTGCAAAGAAGCTAGCAAATGTTTAGATGAGGTGTTAATATGATGACCATGCATATGTTACATCTCCATATTGAGGATTGCTGTAAGCACAAGGTTTACTCCAGAAGCCATCAACATTTATAGACATTGGTTATTTCATTCAGATTACAGGAATGAAATGTCAACATTTCTGCCGTTCTGTAGACAAATATCTACATTTTCACATTTTTGTAGAAAAATTTGAACATATTTACATTACATTTTCCTCCGTCAACAAATGTCGACAAACCTTCACCTCTGTAGACATGAGTTAACCTTTCTACAAACAAACGTCAACAGATCTACATCTCTGTAGACATGAGTTAACCTTTCTCCAAACAAACGTCAACAGATCTACATCTCTGCAGACATGAGTTAACCTTTCTAAAAACAAACGTCAACAGATCTACATCTCTGGAGACATGTGTTAACCTTTCTATAAATGTCAACAGATCTACATCTCTTTAGACATGTGTTAACCTTTCTCCAAACAAACGTCAACAGATCTACATCTCTGGAGTCATGAGTTAACCTTTCTACAAATGTCAACAGATCTATATCTCTGTAGACATGTGTTAACCTTTCTACAGACAAATGTCAACAGATCTTCATCTCCGTAGACATGTGTTAACCTTTCTCCAAATGTCAACAGATCTACATCTCTGGAGTCATGAGTTAACCTTTCTACAACCGTCAACAGATCTTCATCTCTGAAGACATGTGTTAACCTTTCTAGATATGTCAACAGATCTACATCTCTGCAGACATGAGTTAACCTTTCTAAAAACAAACGTCAACAGATCTACATCTCTCTAGACATGAGTTAACCTTTCTAAAAACAAACGTCAACAGATCTACATCTCTCTAGACATGAGTTAACCTTTCTCCAAACAAACGTCAACAGATCTACATCTCTGGAGACATGTGTTAACCTTTCTACAAACATCAACAGATATTCATCTCTGTAGACATGTGTTAACCTTTCTAGAAATGTCAACAGATCTACATCTCTGTAGACATGTGTTAACCTTTCTACAAATGTCAACAGATCTTCACCTCTGTAGACATGTGTTAACCTCTCTACAAACATCAACAGATCTTCATCTCTGTAGACATGTGTTAACTTTTTTACAGACAAATGTCAACAGATCTTCACCTCTGTAGACATGTGTTAACCTTTCTACAAACATCAACAGATCTTCATCTCTGTAGACATGTGTTAACTTTTTTACAAACAAATGTCAACAGATCTTCACCTCTGTAGACATGTGTTAACCTTTCTACAAATGTCAACAGATCTTTACTTATGTAGACATGTGTTAACCTTTCTACAAACAAATGTCAACAGATCTTCATCTCTGTAAACATGTGTTAACCTTTCTACAAACAAACGTCAACAGATCTTCACCTCTGTAGACATGTGTTAACCTTTCTACAAACAAATGTCAACAGTCAATCGATACTTCTTTGGACAAATTTCAAAATACCTACACTTACAAACAAATGTCAACACTTACATAGATAAAACTGCAAATTAGCAGGTAAATTAGTATTTTTGAACAAAACAGTACTTGTGACCAGTCATAAACAATATTTCATAAGAAGTAAGAAATTAACCAACATTTACCAGGGGATACATGAAAAAAACATTTGTCTATCATTTCCCTTTGTAGAAGAGGTTACTCGGGGATATATAATAATACATTTGTCTATCATTTCCCTTTGTAGAAGAGGTTACTCGGGGAGTGACAAAAAGCAGATCACGATTCCAACCCGCAAGTTTCGAACTCAAGATGGACTCTTATAACTTCTGATATCAGTAATCTAGTTTTAGATGAATTTTTTGATAACCTGATAAACATCTTGCTTAAGTGAAGATGTATTCATATGTAGCAAGATGTGACTATGAATAGGCAAACATATACTAAACAATACATAGTCTGCGTGATGATTCTCACCGTTTACGATCACGCATGGCTCCTTCCTTTGCCTCCTTGAGAGCAGTCTCCAGAGACTTGACACGATCCATTGTTGCACGCAGCCTCTTCTCCAACTTTGGAAGTTCACAACGCAGGTCAGCGTTATCACGCACCAGCTAAAGGAATATGGTTATTTATCAAACATTGTTTCTACATTATCAAGATGTTTTAAGTTAAAAAATTTGGCTGTTTAGGAAATGTTCATTAACTTTCAAAATATATCATCAATATATAAATCTTGCAATATAATTTACAGAACATTTGTTTGCAATATCAATTACTTTATTACTAGTCAAGTGTTAGCCATACCGATTAAACATCAGTCTGATACACAAATACTTATTGACATATATTTAAGGGGCTTACATGACTGTCTTATACTAACATCATTCTGACATATACATGTCAGGGGCACACTCTTACTAAATATACACCGATATATACATCTGAGGGGCACACTCTTACCAATATATACATCTGAGGGGCACACTCTTACCATATTATACACTCATGACATATATATATCAGAGGGGCACTCTCTTACTTTATTATACACTGACATATACATCTGAGGGGCACACTCTTACTATATTATACACCGACATATACATCTGAGGGGCACACTCTTACTTGTTTTACACTAACATATACATCTGAGGGGCACACTTACTATATTATACATTGACATATACATATGAGGGGCACACTCTTACTATATTATACAGACATATACATCTGAGGGGCACACTTACTATATTTTACACTGACATACATCTGAGGGGCACACTTACTATATTATACACTGACATATACATCTGAGGGGCACACTCTTACTATATTTTACACTGACATATACATCTGAGGGGCACACTTACCCTATTATACACTGACATATACATATGAGGGGCACACTCTTACTATATTTTACACTGACATATACATATGAGGGGCACACTTACTATATTATACACTGATATATACATCTGAAGGGCACACTCTTACTATATTATACATTGACATATACATCTGAGGGGCACACTCTTACTATATTATACACTGACATATACATCTGAGGGGCACACTTACTATATTATACACTGATATATACATCTGAGGGGCACACTCTTACTATATTATACACTGACATATACATCTGAAGGGCATTAACATTTACTGTATTAAGACAAATTTTTCCATGTGAAATGTTGAAGACACCACATGTACCCACCTGTTTGTGGACTTTGGTGAGCTGTTCAAGGTTGTTCTCCAAGAAGGAGATCTTCTGTTTCTGGGCAGCATTGCCACCCACATCTTCGTCGTCCTCCTCATCCTTCCTATTGGCAGACTGTCAACACAACACATCCACATACAAATTTATAATTTAACATTAAATTAACTTCTTCAAAAGTTTTTAAACACAAATCGTAAGATTAAATGAATGTTATACTATCAATTCTAAATTTTAACGTTAATCAAACCACCTTTGAAAAGATATCATATTAATTGAATTGCTCAGAAATGTATCACTTGATCCATGAATTGCACAAAAACAGATCCGTCACTCTCGTAGCATTTTGTTTTAAATTCATTCAGTAAAGCACAATAGTATATACGCATGTATTTGTCAATGTTTTACTAAGTGAACAATCTGCAAAAGATTTTGTGAAAAAAGTATGACTTTGAAAATCAAATTCTTATAAAATTCAATCCATCAAAAATAGCATGCATTAGCTACTCAGAGTGGACAGAACCAAAACAGGAAATCATCTGGGAGAGGAATACAACAAACTAATTATATTTCTGTCTATTCAGCGACATCTTGTAACATGGTCACGATAAACCACTTATGGGTGTAGGACCATAATATCTTTGTTGATCTATGCATTTTCAGTGATTTCTGCTGTTGTAACAGCTAAGAAAGACATCGTCATTAATGTTTTTTCGGCTGGGACTCAAAGAAACTGCTGATTTTTTTTTTACACTAGAACTAATAGGGTTGATATTTTGTAAAGTTACAGTTTTTCTTGTGCATTCACGAAGGATAAGCCACTTTTCCTAGTTTGACAAAATAAAATAGGGTATAGGAGTGTATAAATCTATCTCAGCAAACTATGTATTTAAAAAAATAAAAGTCTTTTGAAAGGCCTCAAATATATCAGCAAATACATATATATTATTACTTTATAGTTCGAAATTTACCATACAAGAAAAAAAGAACCAATACTGACCAAATATGGAGGCATTAGCTGTACAGAAATGGAAACAAAAACTCAACATACATACAGACTTGGAAGTGGTATACAAACCACTACACAACTCATAAAAGCATGTTGAAAAGCAAAATATGAACCACTGAAAAAACTAAAGAAGCTCGTGAACAGAGATGTAACTCGGCAAGTTTACAGGTATATAAGGCCTCTCCCACGTATCTGGTTCAACCGGTTAGCCTGTTTTTAAAGGTTACATTTTCCAGTATAAATCCTGAAAGACCATTAAATGTTTAAATTACTAGGTCTAACCTTATTTCATAAATGAACAACTTTGGTCCAACCGGTTCAACTGTTTGGATTGCGATAAACGAACGCGGCCTTAGTTTCTGTACAACCTCTGTATCTGTTGTACCAGTAACTGATGTTAGTCACTTTTTCACATGTAAGGCTAATTTAAACAACAATCTATCTCAAAACTTATTGCCTTTTCTTGCTATGAAAAAAGAGAATGTATGTTCTGAGTGACGAGCGAATGACCCATACTGCAATTCTACACTATATTAAAAGGTATCAACCTTAACAACCTTGTTTAGATACCACAACATTTTGATGAAGATGCATTAAGAATCTGACAGTAGAATCCTAAAATGAGATGACTGTATTAAGATAGTGGGATACGAGTTGGAGTGTAGTGACGAGTTACATCTCTGTGGGAGGCACCAGACAACATCAAGGGGAGAACAAGCTAGGGGTGTACCTCGTCAATGAGGGAGTTCCAGCCTGACATCACAGTGTTGTTGTTTTTACCCACCTTCTTAACACGGCTCTGTAGGTCCTGTACGAACAGCTTCCTCAGGTTGTGTAGTGTCTGCAGCTCCTTGGCCTAGAACACAGACAGTAGAGTGAGCAGTTCTCTTAGATCTTTTCAGTACAATGTAATGATATACAGCATTAATAACTTAGATTACAGCATGTCAATCAATTCCAGTAAAAATAACAATGGGATAGCATATTCTTGTGAGAACAACACTGCATAAAATAAAGCTGTATATAGTAAGTATCATCAACATGACAAATCACTTACGACAAGCCATTTGTTTGTTTCACTCTGAAAGAATACTTTTAATAATGCTATCTCTAGTAATGTGATTCCACACATGGTTATTTTATATTTACACAGAAAGGTGATTCTATGCCCGGTTTTAAATTTGGATCTCCTCCCTGACCCCCCACCCCCACCCCCACCCCACCCCAAAAACAAGGCAAATCTAACACTTCATAAATCTGAAAACTGTACACAGGAATCAGTATCCTCTAGGAATAAGTAATCATACTATTACTTCAAACATTGAAGCTCAAGTGTGCAAAGACAACTGAACACTTTTCAGATATAGAAAAGCAGGAACAAGCACACTAAATAGAATTTATGTTGTATGCATACAAGTGACTTCCAGTTTGTATTATCTGACCCCAGCACTGGCCACATACCACAGTCTCCTCCAGACCCTTGAGGTCTTGTTTGGCCTGCTCACGGCGGTCAAGTTGTAAGGACAGTTCAGCCAGTTTGGCAGATTTTTCCGACTCTTCCTGTTTAAGCTTGTCATAATCTGACTGTAGCTTGTCAAGCGCCAGCACAAGCTTCTGGTTTGTACTGTAAATAAAAACATTGTGATAGATATTCCAAACAACTCTACTCATGAATATTCCTTTTTCTGTGACCTGTGAATGGCCCGATTTTAGTAAATTTATTACTGTAACAGTATATTCTCACATCACTGAAATTCCTTATTATCACATGTCTAAGGATTAATAAAGGTAATGTACGCAAGTTTTGACATGAATCATCAAATTTTATTTTCAAATAAAAATAGGACCACAAAGAAAAATTTAAAATATAGAGACTTCAAAATATTTGATGCAAATATCCAGAGTAACAAGATGAAACAACTTAGACTTGTACTATTTTCTACAATATCTCTAAAAGGCATCTACTGGAAGGGGAGATAACTTACTCCTTTAGGGACTCGATGAGAGTTTGTTTATCTGTGATCTCATCACGGAGAGAGTTAAGCTGCTTCTGGTGCTGGCCACGGTGCTTCTCCAGCTGTTTTTCCAGGGCATCTTTCATATCGTTAATGGTCTGGACCCTGTCTGACACTTCCTTCTCCTTCTGGGATGCTGTGCTTGATGCCATACGCTCTGTAACCAAAAATAAGATTGTAAGGTAATACCATTAAGGTTGTTTTTTTCATCAGATTGTAATTTTTCAATTTTTTTTTCTGCAAAAAATACAACCCACAAAATTTAGTTAACTGATCCATCCTTACTATAGCCCATTAGGCCAATGCCACTGACCCAAAATCTGTTAAAAAGGAAATTTTAAGAAATTGATCATCTCAGCAAATGTTTGAAAATGAGGGATCAAAATATGCAAGGATTTCATACATGCTAAACAAAATAATTAAAATATTGAATAAAAGTGAAATAATAAACGAAACAGAATGTAAAATCTCCATATTTTTTCAGATTCAGACCTAATCTTCAATTAATTAGATGCAGGTCCATTCCTGTAACTTTGAACTCAAATTGTAACCCACTATGTCTGGTATTGTGGCCTGATGCAGAGACACCATACCTGAAGCCTTAAGGGCTGTGTATTCATCATTGAGGGCATCCACTTGCTCCTCAAGCTGGCGTTTCTTGAGGTCCATGTCACGGATGGTCTCATTAAGTGAATTCATCTTGGCCTCGTGTTGTGTGATGAGGAGACGACAGTCAGAAAGTTCCTTCTCTGCCAAGTCAAGCTTCTTCTGGTTTTCACTGTGGTGGGTTTCCAACTGTTCGGTGCGAGTGACCAACGTCTTCACCTCCGACTTCATCTTACTGATGTACAGCCGAGCCACAGTGAACTCCTCCTCTAGTTTCTCCGACGACGTTATATTTGGCTGAACATATGACGGAGCATAATGTTAACATTTAGTACACACTGTTACCTTTTCCTGTCAAACATCTTTCTAAAGGGATTGTTTTATGTTATTTCATGTTATTTCATGTGTCCAACTGAAACTTTCCCTCCAAAGCGAGTAAGTTTGACTAGTTCTTTACATATAGCTCCTCCTATAGCTTATCATTATATTTTCAACAAATCTTGCTAAACTATTCATTTCTATAAACATCTTAAATTTGTATGAAAACATTGTATATGCTACTTCCTCAATCAGATTGTCAATATATATTTATGCACATTTAAATCATGGCTGTGACAACTAAAGCTTAATCCCTATACTTCCTTATCTGCCTATCAAGCATCAACGTGTAGACCACTTTTAAGTCATCAGATGCCAAATTTGTTGGGTTTTTTATGAGGAACTTGTTTTTAATTAATGATGATTTATTCCAATGAGCCGGTTTGGTTGCCTCATACCTTGGACTCTGCAGCATTTCCCCCGACAATAGTTCCAATGTCGCCTAGATCCTTCAGCAGACTTGCCATCATCTCTGCTACACGTTTCTTCTGGTGAAGTTGGGAGTCTCTCTGGCTATCCAGCTCCGTTTTGAGAGAGTTAACTTGGCTCTGAAAACACACAACTTATGTGTCAAGATATGACATCACAGAAATTTTAAGTAAAATCTTACTAAATAAAAGAGTAAGATTTTTACCTTTCTTTTTCAATTTATCCTTCAAGTCAACAATATGGCTATCTTTTGAGGGAAGTCACCATTTTACCTGCAGTAGTTATAATTATGGAAGTGATGAAACCTATAGCAGCTATGGCAGTGATGAAACCTGTAGCAGATATGGGAGTGATGAAACCTATATCAGCAACGGGAGTGATGAAACCTATATCAGCAACAGGAGTGATGAAACCTATAGCAGATACGGGAGTGATGAAACCTATAGCAGATATGGGAGTGAAGAAACCTATAGCAGATAAGGGAGTGATGAAACCTGTAGCAGATATGGGAATGATGAAACCTATAGCAGATATGGGAGTGATGAAACCTATAGCAGATACGGGAGTGATGAAACCTATAGCAGATACGGGAGTGATGAAACCTATAGCAGATATGGCAGTGATGAAACCTATATCAGCAACAGGAGTGATGAAACCAATAGCAGATACGGGAGTGATGAAACCTATAGCAGATACGGGAGTGATGAAACCTATAGCAGATATGGGAGTGATGAAACCTATAGCAGATATGGGAGTGAAGAAACCTATAGCAGATAAGGGAGTGATGAAACCTGTAGCAGATATGGGAATGTTGAAACCTATAGCAGATATGGGAGTGATGAACCCTATAGCAGATATGGGAGTGATGAAACCAATAGCAGATATGGAAATGATGAAACCTATATCAGCTATGGCAGTGATGAAACCTACATCAGCTATTGTAATGATGAAACCTCTAGCAGACATTGTAATGATGAAACCTATAGCAGATATTGTAATGATGAAACCTATAGCAGATATGGGAGTGATGAAACCTATAGCAGATATGGCAGACATAACCTATTCTGACCTGGTTAGTGCCCATCTCCTCCAGCAGAGTCTCGTACTCCTTGGACTTGAGTTCTACCTCCTGTGACTTCTGGTCGTAGTTCATGGCCAACTCCTCCAGGGCTTGCAGTACTTCCTTTACCTCATCCTTGGCCGAGTCGTTGTCGGTCTGGATGCGTGACATGTCTATCTGTAACACATCAAGGTCACGCTTGCCCTGGGCTATCAACTCTTCCTGTTCCAGCATCTGTTCCTTCAGCCTTTCAATCAACTGGGACTGGTTGTTGATCTCGTCATCCTGTAAAAAACATAAAACTATCAGCCTGCAATGAACCACTTCTCTCTGAGAGATATATCTGCAACATTGTAACAAGTGATAGACCTCATTAAATTTCTGATGTAGTTAAGTTGTTAATTCCCTACCCTATTGTTTCTCTTGTGTGACCTACCTTATTGACTAGTTGCTGGTAGTTTAGAGCTGGCTGTTAATTCCCTATCCTATTGTTTATCTTGTGTGACCTACCTTATTGACTAGTTGCTGGTAGTTTCGAGCTGGTTGTTAATTCCCTATCCTATTGTTTATCTTGTGTGACCTACCTTATTGACTAGTTGCTGGTAGTTTCGAACTGGTCGTTAATTCTCTACTCTATTGTTTATCTTGTGTGTGACCTACCTTATTGTCTAGTTGCTGGTAATTTAGAGCTGGCCGGTAATTCCCTATTCTTTTGTTTATCTTGTGTGACCTACCTTATTGACTAGTTGCTGGTAGTTTCCAGCTGGTTGTTAATTCTCTACCCTATTGTTTATCTTGTGTGACCTACCTCATCGTCTAGTTGCTGGTAGTTTCGAGCTGGCTGTTAATTCCCTATCCTATTGTTTATCTTGTGTGACCTACCTCATCGTCTAGTTGCTGGTAGTTTCAAGCTGGTTGTTAATTCTCTACCCTATTGTTTATCTTGTGTGACCTACCTTATCGACTAGTTGCTGGTAGAGTTTCGAGCTGGTTGTTAATTCTCTACCCTATTGTTTATCTTGTGTAACCTACCTCATCGTCTAGTTGCTGGTAGTTTAGAGCTGGCTGTTAATTCCCTACCCTATTGTTATCTTGTGTGACCTACCTTATCGCCTAGTTGCTGGTAGTTTCGAGCTGGTTGGTAATTTCCTACCCTATTGTTTATCTTCTGTGACCTACCTTATCGTCTAGTTGCTGGTAGTTTCGAACTGGTTGTTAATTCTCTACTCTATTGTTTATCTTGTGTGTGACCTACCTTATCGACTAGTTGCTGGTAGTTTCGAGCTGGTTGTTAATTCCCTATCCTATTGTTTATTATGTGTGACCTACCTTATTGACTCGTTGCTGGTAGTTTCAAGCTGGTTGTTAATTCTCTACCCTATTGTTTATCTTGTGTGTAACCTACCTTATCGTCTAGTTGCTGGTAGAGTTTAAGGCGCTCAGCCTCAACCTGAACCTTATCAGCTCCCAGGGCACTGGAGGACATCAGTTTGGCAGCAATGTCATTCTTTGGGGCAGTGCCTGTCTCTGCCTCCTGGAGAGAAGTTGTACTGGCCTTCATGTCAAACTGTTCATCCTGGGACACATGCTGGCCTGCATCACAAAATATTGATCTCAGTCTACATACAGTGTCCATCTATTACCTAAATATCTACCATGTGGATCTAGTATACTGGTTAAGGATTGTTTTGAAAATCTGATTATCTAGGTCAACAGCTATTCTAGACAATAACAGCTATCATTAACAACTTCAAAATGGCCAGGATAAATACAGCATAATAAATATAAAATACCAGAAGCCTACTTATCGTACTTGGTATATGTCAACAGTATTGCCTTTATACCATACTTAAAATGTTTGAACCCTTTCATCGCTATAGACAATAATGGACTTATTGAGATCAAGGCATAGTAGAGTCTACTAAAGTTACATAGAGATGAAAGGGTTAAACATTAGATATATTACCTGACTGTATGCTAGGAAGTCCTGTAAAATTATACCTCGCATATAACCTGGCCATTTCATCCCTGGTTGTGTAACTTACCTGAGCGCCACATCTGTAGCTCGGCTTCAAACTTGGCAAGGACACCCTTAAGTCTGGCGTTCCTCTCCTTTTCTTTCTCATACCTCCTCTTCCATTCCTCCGCAGTCAACTCCTCGTTCACCATCACAACGTTCTTGATCGTCTTTGCTCTGAATGAAAAAGTCATATGCATAAAATTTTCCACCTCCTTCCAATTTCCTTTTTTCTCTTTTTTTCTCAATTCATAAAATCCGTTACCCACATTTGATATCTTGGACATCAGATTACTATCCCAATGGTAATGCCAACATTACGTTTTAAACCAATTTAGGACATTTTTACTGCTGCGTGTTAAGCTTAAGCACAAACATTGAAATTAAATTTAGGCTATAGCAAAAATAAAACTTACCTCTGACCAAACAGAAGTGTGGTTTTGGTTTCCGTCTCGTTGTAAGAAGCGGGTGAACAACAGATAATAACTGTGGTACGAGCGTTACCTCCCAAACTCTCCTGAAGAATCCTAGTCAGTTTACTGTCACGGTACGGCACATGGGTTTTCTGTACAAACCAATCCATACATACAATCACAGACAATAAACAGATCACAGCAATCTACTGAGGACAGAAATTATACAGCAACTACTGATAATATGCTACTTATTTAGATATAAATATCTGTTCCAGAAAATCTCTTATTTTATCATATAAATTTGAAAAATCACTCATTCCGAGATATTTATTTTGTGATCGTATTTTTTTAAATGGGTCAATAAAAACATTAAAACAGCTGTTACTCCTAAAAGACCAATTACAACAATCTTACACCTGGCAATAAATTAATTGTTTTAGAGAATCTTACACCTGGCAATAAATTAATTGTTTTAGTGAAATCTTACACCTGGCAATAAATTAATTGTTTTAGTGAAATCATACACCTGGCAATAAATTAATTGTTTTAACTGTCAGTTTTTTTGTTTTTTTTAAATTAATACTTTTAAATCATTTTTGTTCTTGACGAGTTAGGAAGGATTTAAATAGCTATTTTTTTTGTTTACTAGCACTGACCTGTTCATCAGCAAGGGCAGCGATGACATTTCCCAGAGCTGACAGAGACTTATTGATGTTCTTGGCTTCGTCGAGTACTGCTCCCTCAGCTCCAGTCTTACTCACCTGTAAATCCATCATAGAACTTTACATCACTCAGTTTGGTTTTATTGGGTTTAGCGTCACTTTAACACCTAAGGTCATTTAAGGATGTGCCTTTGTGTATATAATGTATGGTTGTTGAAGGTTGTATTTGCCTCCTCGCAATACTGTGGATCTAATGCCGACTTTCGAGTGCACCTTACTGAAATACCATGCGTAAAGCACCCAGCCAGTATTCCAACCCGTCACATTACACTGACAATGGGTTTACAATCACATGGTCATAAGAACACTTATAATTAACAAAATATTGAATGTAACAAGTTAACATTATCAGCCCTATATCAATGACATTTAATAAAATTTCTTACTTTCTTTCAACCTAAAGTTATTTTTTAATATCATCTTGAATAAATTCTTAAATTAAAATAATTTTGGTAATAAAACATTGAAAGACAGTTATTCAACAAAACATTCAACAAAAGGTATTCTCAATGCAACAAAATATTCCGTGTGTTACTGGTTACTTACTCTCTCACTGTCAGCTTGATCTACTTCGAAGTTTACCATTTATGTTGTTTCTGGTTCTGTGTACACATTCTTGTTTCTTATACCTTCTCAATACCAGCAACATCTACTTAATATTACTTGTCACAAAGCTGTTTCAGGTCCTCTAGAAGTTCTTGTTGCTTACCTTCTCACTACCAGCAAGATCTACTAGATATAGTTTGCCATTAAGTTGTTTCTGGTTCTCTAAATGTTCTTGTTTTACATTGATCAGGAACACACTGTGGCTTCTTGAGCTGTGTTCGTTCATATCTGAAACCAGGAACATTTCAGTTTAAAATACGAAAGTGGCCACAGAATAAACTAGTACCACCAACGTCTTTAATAATGTGACAACACTCTTGTCCATAAGCCAACATCCATACCTGAGGTACTGATCATTCTGTTAAATTTTCTTTAACTTTCAAAGTCATTTTTAAATCAGTGTCAATAACATGTAACAGTTTCATATCACTGGGGTACCTTTTTTTCAAAAGATAAAAATTCACAAAGGACTATGTATGGTTTGCTTGCATTTACATTAACATAGCAAAAAGCCTTACAAAGAACAGAAAATAGCAGTTTGCAAATCATGTTCGACAGAATATGAGACTTTTACGATGCTTACTTATATTACACACCACATACCACAGAGTATAGATAGTCTGATTTAACAAAGCTCTACAACAAAAGGATGACGTACTTGTCACAGCTACGTGTCGGTTTGATTTGCCCTCGTCGATGGCCTCCATCACCTCGTCAGGACTCGACACAAACCTTTCTGTCGCACCCTGTCACACAAAATATACTCTGTAAACATCCTGTCTCCCTCAAAATCATGTACTATAAAACTTTCTGGATACTGATTGTCGTATCATCCAGTGTAAGTTCTGAGCATCACTGTTAACTTTCATACTCTTATTGAAAAGTAAATATTTAAAATATTTCGCAGTAAAACACAAAAAGAAAAAAATCTTTTCGTTAATATGCTTGTTCGCAATTCCTGTTTTAATTGCCAAATTACTGATCCACTATTTTTCGGACAAAGAAAGATGTCTCTGCTTCTGATAAGATTTTTTTATCACACATTACCATGTACAATAAATTCTAAGTCTTTTTGTCAGCCTGAGCACTCCGGAAAAGTACTGACCTTGACAAAGGGCACTCTGTTCTTATCTTCATGTACAGCCAAGTTGGTCTTAGAAACTGTAGGAATAAATGTTGTCTTTATTATTCTGCTTTATATCACTTATCAACAGAAAACATGATATTAAGGTCATAGGAGTGTATTGATAATAGGAAGTAGGAAGTACATCCCTTGTTGAAAATCCAATGTAAGGAGACAGTATCACAATTTCTGCATATTCTAATGTTTAATATTAAACTGATGAATATTGTATGTTTATTATTGACAGAACAGTGTGTTCTCTAAATATTAAAGTATTTCAAAGCAATGCAGGAATTAATTCAGTTTTTTTTTTTATCAATGAGCTACATGTATCCATTTTTCTGTACTTCAGGAAACCGGCTACCTATTTCAATACTGTGAAGTTTTTCAAGGAAGATAACTCTTACCTGCAATTACTATGTGCATATGGTTTTATTATAAAATGTCAATTTTTAATCGTTTATAGATAAAAAAAAAAATGAAATAATTTCAGCATTTATTAAATTGATATACATTAATGCAATACTAATCTATGGTAGTATCATTTTTATTAACATTATTTTGCAAAAAATTGTGTCTTGTGTCTTTCATTTTTTTTTCAAAAGTCACTTCTTTTTACATAAATTTCCATTTAAATTCCTTAAAATTCTGACAACCTATATTTTTTTTGTGGCAGAACATTTTCTTTCCTTCAAAGCAATATAACTACAAAACTTGAAGAAATTCTACTGAGAAATGGCAACACAATCCTATTACCTTAAAGGAAATGTGATATTAAAAGGTGTTTTTCTTACATTTTTTCAGATGTCAAAATCCCAAGTGATGTATAATTTGAAGCCCAAATGATAGTAATTTTGGTACATAACTATAATCCAACTTTATCTTTGTGTACAAGTTTTATGCTACTTACACATCTGATAATTTGCCATATTACATATCAATTATCAGCTATAGGGGAGTCATGATACGCCTATACAGTGTCATGATATATATACAATTGTATTGTAATTTAGGTGGAATGTACTGTGATATAGACATACATATCATGTATATTGTCTTAGAATTTAGGCTTTACACAACAAAGACGACAGATCTATGAGATACAGAAATTATATATTTTTAGTGTTCAATAACATGAAATAAATATATGAAATAGGTAAAATATTAAAGGAAGACAAGTTATTTCACAGAGGAGTTTTCTCTGACTACTATACTTATCATTGAATTAAATTCATCACAGCAAATAACTTAAAAGACAACTTGATCTATGAAGTAAATAATTCCCAAAGACATACAGTATAGTATAATAAGTCATCAGCTGTTTTTGATGTCCAGAAATGAGCTTTGAATTATATTTCATTTGAACAGGTCTTTCCATTTATAGGGCCTTCATACACTACCGTTCACCAAGACAAACTTAATATTTATATTTATGCCAGGATTACCAGTCTTTTTAAAAATAATCAATGCAAAAATTCAGTTTATATTTGACAAAACGTTCAGATAGATTAATTACTCCACCAGTATGTCGCTACTTACTATCCAACAGATCGCGAACCTTGTCCATGTAAATCTCATAGTATGACACCTGTAATTTATAATGTTAATAAGTAAGTTCACAAGTAGACAAGCTGACATCTAATCTTAATTTTCAACAAGAATTTCATGAATTCACATTACAAATTTTACATACAGTGGTCTGGTGACTGTGATATGTCAATGGAAACAATTTTTGTGGACTAGTTTTTAAGAGATTTAAGTAAATTACTATCTCTTCTTATATCTACTGGACATCTATTTCCAAATTCACTTTTAATTATATATTAAGTAAATCTTGCAGACATTTATTAACAGCTAAGTTATTACAAGATTAATAATAAATGTCTATAATCTTTTGAGGCAACTTTTTGGGTTTTAGATTTTCATCACAAGCACAATGAACTTGCTGGCGAGTTACCTTGATGTGGAACTCGAGATTCTCGTCCATGCCATAGATGTAGTTAAATATGTCCTGTACAATCCTCGGAATGATCCCCTGCATGTGGTTATCCCCAATGACTCCCTATAACACAAAGGACAAGTTATAGATACATTGTATAACATTGTAGATAAATTGTATATACATGTACATTGTATAACATTGAAGATATACTGTATAACATTGTAGACATATTGTATTACATTGTAGATATATTGTATATCATTGTAGATACATTGTATAACATTTTAGATATATCGTATAACACTAGATACATTGTATAACCAGTTAAACATACATATAGTACATAAGTTATTAACGTAACATTGTATAACAAGCTATACATACATTGCATTACTCAACTACATCAAATAACAAGTTAGAAATGTTGTAACACAAGTAAAAGAAAAAAATAATTATAAAATAATAGAGAAAGTCAGAATGACATGTATGCTTAGGAAAATAAGTCTCTCATAAAATAACTTGTGACTATTATGATGTGTATGCTTAGGAAAAGAAGTCTTTTATAAAATAAGCGTGTGTTTTGATGTTTATATGTGTACTGATGTGTACCGTGAACACTACCAGCCAACATAACTTGTGACTATTATGATGTGTATGCTTAGGAAAATAAGTCTCTCATAAAATAACTTGTGACTATTATGAAGTGTATGCTTAGGAAAATAAGTCTCTCATAAAATATCTTGTGTCTATTATGATGTGTATGCTTAGGAAAATAAGTCTCTCATAAAATAACTTGTGACTATTATGAAGTGTATGCTTAGGAAAATAAGTCTCTCATAAAATAGCTTGTGACTATTATGATGTGTATGCTTAGGAAAAGAAGTCTTTTATAAAATAAGCGTGTGTTTTGATGTTTATATGTGTACTGATTTGTACCGTGAACACTCCCAGCCAACAGACCAGTCCACCATTGTGATGGTATATGTATACTGATGTGTACCGTGAACACTACCGGCCAACAGACCAGACCACCATTGTGATTGTATATGTGTACTGATGTGTATGGTGAACACAACCAGCCAACAGACCAGCCCACCATTGTGATGGTGTATGTGTACTGATGTGTACCGTGAACACAACCAGCCAACAGACCAGACCATCATTGTGATGGTATATGTGTACTGATGTGTACCGTTAACACTACCAGCCAACAGACCAGACCAGCATTGTGATGGTATATGTGTACTGATGTGTATGGTAAACACTACCAGCCAACAGACCAGACCACTATTGTGATGGTATATGTGTACTGATGTGTACGGTGAACACTACCAGCCAACAGACCAGACCACTATTGTGATGGTATATGTGTACTGATGTGTACCGTCAACACTACCAGCCAACAGACCAGACCAGCATTGTGATGGTATATGTGTACTGATGTGTACCGTCAACACTACCAGCCAACAGACCAGACCAGCATTGTGATGGTATATGTGTACTGATGTGTATGGTAAACACTACCAGCCAACAGACCAGACCACTATTGTGATGGTATATGTGTACTGATGTGTACCGTCAACACTACCAGCCAACAGACCAGACCACTATTGTGATGGTATATGTGTACTGATGTGTACTGTGAAAACAGCTACCAGACAACAGACCAGACCACCATTGTGATGGTATATGTGTACTGATGTGTTTGGTAAACACAGCTACCAGCCAACAGACCAGACCACCATTGTGATGGTATATGTGTACTGATGTGTACCGTGAACACTACCAGCCAACAGGCCAGACCACCATTGTGATGTGTACCGTGAACACTACCAGCCAACAGACCAGACCACCATTGGGATAGTATATGTGTACTGATGTGTACCGTGAACACTACCAGCCAACAGACCAGACCACCATTGGGATAGTATATGTGTACTGATGTGTACCGTGAACACAGCTACCAGCCAACAGACCAGTCCACCATTGTGATGGTATATGTGTACTGATGTGTACCGTGAACACAACCAGCCAACAGACCAGACCATCATTGTGATGGTATATGTGTACTGATGTGTACCGTGAACACTACCAGCCAACAGACCAGGCTACCATCGTGATGGCATATGTGTACTGATGTGTACCGTGAACACTACCAGCCAACAGACCAGGCTACCATCGTGATGGTATATGTGTACTGATGTGTACCGTGAACACTACCAGCCAACAGACCAGACCATCATTGTGATGGTATATGTGTACTGATGTGTACCGTAAACACTACCAGCCAACAGACCAGGCCACCATTGTGATGGTATATTTGGACTGATGTGTACCGTGAACACTACCAGCCAACAGACCAGGACACCATTGTGATGGTATATGTGTACTGATGTGTACCGTGAACACTATCAGCCAACAGACCAGACCATCATTGTGATGGTATATGTGTACTTATGTGTATGGTGAACACCACCAGCCAACAGACCAGGCCACCATTGTGATGGTATATGTGTACTGATGTGTATGGTGAACACCACCAGCCAACAGACCAGGCCACCATTGTGATGGTATATTGTGTAAGGCTACAACCTATTGATTTCCTACATTGTGTAGCCATGATCAGGTTGATACAGTAACAGATCGGTTATCTAGTGAAGACTTTTGTTGTAGAAACCACTGTTAAATATGCTGACAGAGGAAAGCCCTCTACACATACTGATAGTTATAACTACACGACAGCCTCGGTTCGTGTCCATGTCGGGTACAAACAGCTCCGTCCTTTCCTAGATATAAGCCAACCCTCCCCATCTCCTATGATAAAGTTTCACAGTCTAAATTCAAATATTTTCCTTCATAACTGATATTTTAAATTAGAACTCTTGAAATATTGAATATCAATATCCAGCAGTAAAAAAATACATGTTTTTGTTTTACTCTGATTAGCAAATTCTTTCTATAATTCGAAACTTTGCCCATTCACTGTGTAAAATTCGTTTAATCTAAAGGCTATGACATGCATGGAAGTTTAAATATATATCAATAGTACATTGAGTATGTATGGTTGCAGAGAAATTTTACAGACATAAACATGATGTTACTTCATTTTTATAGACTGTATTAAATATTAAGTCTAAATATCTCAAATACAGAATTCTTGAGTTTTTTAATCAATTCATTCTGAAGAACTTATAAAATATAATCAGCTTTAGTTTAACACCAAAATATAACGCTGGTACAGACTACGTTTTACATCACCAGACATCTGTGACACGGGCAGTGTACAAGATAACATAACGCAGAGTTTCCATCACTGAAATTATCTAACCGCAGAAATCAATAAATAAACAGCATTGTTAAGTTCAAGTACTTCACCTCTAGCTATACCACATGTATCCAGACACAACGGAACATTGGCTTTTTATACCCATGTACCGGTATGTATGACCAGGATTCAAGATATCTCAATTTAGCCCTGGTACAAACATATTCCCTAAGACATGACAAATGCGTTTGGATATCATATACAGCTGTGGTAAAACATAGTTCTCCTTGGAAATATATATAACCGGGCAGACTGAGATATAACCAATTATCAGCTTTTAATTTCAGCTCTATAGCATTGCTAGGCAATCTATTTCAACACTGTATAATACATTCTGTGAGTGAATATTGACTGAATGTTTTGCTAAGCAAATTATATGATACTGGATTTTATCTAAATAGGCTACTGGGATCTATTTTGAAAATCAATATTATACACGAACTGCAGATTCAATTAGGTATAGCAAAACCTGCAACTGGTAGCAATGACAACATTTCTATCTGCTTTCTCTAGGTCTTAAAGAAACAAAAATGAGCTATTGTGTTAAATTATTTAGGTTATTAATATATTCCTATATCTAACTTTCAGTAACAGGAAGAATTACCAAAACTAATACTGATATAATTTTGTGGGCGTTATTAAAAATCTTCAATTTCAGTTGAGTTTTCTCCACATGACATCTAGCTTCCAGTTTGAGTTGCTTTGAGTTTTGACCTAAACACCTTTAGCATGACCCAATTACAGACTTTGTGGTATAAAAGAGCAATATGGAGCCCATATAATGAACTTCATGAAACAAAGATTGCTGGTTTGCATTGATGTGTGATTTATTTGATGGCCGTGTTTGTGCCGACTGTAGAAAACAGTGCTAAATATACCTATACTGACAGGTATTGCCATAGAAGTCCAGGTGAAACCAATCCCAAATTGAATCATCACCAATAATACTACCTGGTTCTTATTAAATACTCACAAGTGTGGCACTGTGCAGAGATTATGTCTACCATGAAACACTACATCAAGCTATAGGTATTAACCTTTAACCTTCAAGTTAAATCAAAACCCAACATTTCCTTACAGATATGGAAACCATTAGCCACTCAGAATAAAGCATTAATTATCAGCCCCCTCAATCTTGTATAACATCAGTGGAGCCGCTGTAAGACTGCCTTGGTAGGCAGAAGGAGGATATATAATGTGCAAAGGAAATTCTCAAGTTTGGGCCTCCAAGTCCTTTCAGAAATGTTTGATCTCCCATCATTATACGTTAGTGCAACCTTTGCAGGCTAGGTCTTAGGTGGCATTGGACGGACAACAATAAAACTCGTTCTTTATACATGTCTAGCCTTCTTACTATGTATTGAATGGATCTAGTCTTATCTCACAGTCTGCAGGATTTCCTAGAAAGTGTTGTTGAGAGTATGGCTAGTTAGATGTAGGATTCTGTCTGATGGATCAATGAGAATAGGACTCATGCCAGCCTGGCCTTCACTGATCAATACACACAATGCTCCCACACAGGCAGGTCTACTCTCTCCTACATGTATTTTGTAATGGTGATGAAGCTTTTCTATCACCAGGTATTGACCAATAGAATTCAAGTTTTATTATTGCCATAATCATGTACAAAATATCTTGATTCTATTTTATTACTCAACAATATCTCTGGCTAAGCATCGAAGAAAATGTCTCTTGATTTCAACTTCATGCAGAAACAAAAATTATGTAAAAGAAAATATGTTGCAGAATTATATTACTGTGTATACACTCGGTAACTTTCAAAATAATGCATGTTACAAAATTTACCAATTAAATGACAATTATTTCAATTATTATTCCAATTCTTTTGAAGTGTATATGTGTAATAATGCAAATAAAAGCCCTGTACAAATTGTTCTTGACAAATGATACATGAAAATGTGCTTTCAACAACTGAAGGAAAAGTGTCAACTAGATCGAGACTTGTTTTTTTTTTACCAAAACATGTCTACTATATTTTAGCTAATATGCATATTTGGTGCAGTTTGAATATAACCCTATGTGGGTGTATATAATTTAAGTTTTACAAAGATATTTTACAATTCAGGAGTACAAAAAAAGATGTCACTGAAAATTTTCCACTTTATTTGATTGACCTTTGACCTAGAACTGTAATAAGGTTATGACCTAATTACAATGTAATACACTCTTTCTGTTGGTGCTGCTGTTGTACTTTTAGTTTGTCAAGATATTGAACAAAGTAAAGGTACAGGCAATTTTGTTTTAAAAATTGCACTTATTTGACCTTTGACCTGAAGATAAAGATCACTGTGACCTATACTACTGTGCACTATTTTCTGTTAGTGATGAAGATGTACTACTTGCAAAAGCTTCATCAAGGTATCTTTAGTGGTTGAAATTTACAGCCCAGAAAAATAAAACTATAACATAACTGACCCATTTTACTTTTATTTGGAACATATTCGTACACCACTACAGTTTACTACCTTTCTTTATGAAAGGTGCTGCATTTTTTTCTCTATTTTTTTTTGTTTTAGGTTTTTGCAATTATATGAATTTGACATGTTTCTTTTGTCTTTATCATTTTCATTGCATTTAAAACTGTTCATTTTTTTTTTTTAAATCAGACTTCTTTGCGCCGAACGACAATACTTTGATGATCAGAGTTCTTTGGTTTTGACCTACATGTATATAGAGTCAGCTAGCTGATAACAAATAATTGTTTGAATATTTTTTATCAAATTGTGAATGTTATGCGATGAATACCTAGAAACTTACATGATTGGCCATGTCATATTGAACTTACTAAACTCATGTAACAATTAAATATGAAACAAGCCTTTGGGCGAGTGTCATACATCAAATTAATGAACTTATTTAATAAATTCAATAAAACATGGACACTCATGTAAGATCCTCTTTGTATGCCTCTGTTTCATTTGAAGACACATTACAACATGTACAGGAGAGCAATTCTCTCTGTGTGGATAGCCTGACCTACACATTACTACATGTACAGGACAGCAATTCTCTCTGTGTGGATAGCCTAGCCTACACATTACAACATGTACAGCAGAGCAATTATCTCTGTGTGGAAAGCCTGGCCTACACATTACACCATGTACAGGAGATCAATTCTCTCTGTGTGGATAGCCTGACCTACACATTACCACATGTACAGGACAGCAATTCTCTCTGTGTGGATACCCTAGCCTCCACATTACAACATGTACAGCAGAGCAATTATCTCTGCGTGGAAAGCCTGGCCTACACATTACACCATGTACAGGAGATCAATTCTCTCTGTGTGGATAGCCTGGCCTCCACATTACAACATGAACAGCAGAGCCATTCTGTCTGTGTGGATAGCCTGGCCTACACATTACAACATGAACAGCAGAGCAATTCTGTCTGTGTGGATAGCCTGGCCTACAAATTACACCATGTACAGGAGAGCAATTCTCTCTGTGTGGATAGCCTGGCCTACACATTACAACATGTACAGGACAGCAATTTTCTGTGTGTGGATAGCCTAGGCCTGGCCTTCACATTACAACATGAACAGGAGAGCAATTCTCTGTGTGTGGATAGCCTAGGCCTGGCCTACACATTACAACATGTACAGCAGAGCAATTATCTCTGAGTGGAAAGCCTGGCCTACACATTACACCATGTACAGGAGAGCAATTCTCTCTGTGTGGATAGCATGGCCTACACATTACAACATGTACAGCAGAGCAATTATCTCTGTGTGGATAGCGCGGCCTCCACAATATAACAAAGCTACTGTATGTTATGTACAGCAGTGAAATGCTCGTATAATGCTAAACATGTACATTATGTATATCTACCAGTGAGGATCTGATACTGATTAATTTTGGATGGCTATAGCAAATCCAAGGTTGGTTTAATTCCTTATCAATGGTACATTTATCCAAGCTACCTTGTTTGGGAAGGATCACAGACACCTTTTTGTAGTAGGAAGGAATAACGAAAAAAGATAGCTTCTTACACTTGGGATCAATCCAGACCCTAGACTTCAGTCCAATGCTATACCACTCCCTCTAGCTGAAGCCATATCCTTCACTTACACAACACACCCTCTTGGTTCATAACATGAAGTACTAACCTCGAGGAACACCGGGGTATATAGCTTTATATAGTTAGATAGAGATGCTATATCAGGGCTAGAAATTCATTTTGAATACCACTAGTAAATTGGGTTAGTTGAATAAAAAAATAAAAACAAAAATCGGGTTAGTAGTTTCCAATTTATACTAGTCATGTGCAAATTTCACTAAACCCAATATTATTCAACAAGAGAAGCAATGGCAAATTTTGACTTGTCAATCAGGCTAGCAGTTCTCAGAACCACAAGTCAAGCTAGAGATTTAACATGTCTCAGATCTAGACTATCGAGCTACCCTTATTGTGGAGCCCTGTATATAGAACATAAACTGTATTTTTGAATCTAACTGGGCAGTTTCCATTAATACCAATGAAGTGAAGGCTGATCCCGAAGACTGACAAATTGTGTTTTACAGCCAAATACACACTTCTATTAGGATGAAACCTAGTTGCAGACCCAGCCAATCACAGACTAGCTACTATTCAAACACACTCCGACTGTAGACCCAGACAGCTGTAAATATACATTATGCATTTCATGTCTGCTGTGCCTAGTCCATAAATCTGAACAACACAACCACTTAAGGGTGCTGAAGTTAGAACGACAAATCAATAGATTTACAGGCAGAGCTCGTGATCTTGTTTTATGAAATTACAGGTATTAAACCTTGTCGTCTGTAAGGTTCTGGACCATTTCTTTCGCCACAGCACTTCAGGATCAGAAATTATGTTCTGCATGATTGTATGAGTTATAACTACTGAGAACTAAAATAAGGACAGATTTTTCCTGAGTCCTCTAGATCTGCTTATGTATCTAATAAAGGGAGTGGGAGATCACATAGATACGTACCACCCAACTTTGCCCTAAACCTATGACCAACAAAATCTAATCAGGGGTAGACCCCAATGTTACCATACAATTGTTAAATATTTACTTAACTCATTTGGGGTTCATTATATCTTTTTGCTTCAAAAGTGGCCAAGTGGGATCTTTACGTGTGACCATCACAACAGCTGAGGTGACCTTTAACCCTCATAACAGCTGTTAGGTCATATGAAAACAGTGTCCACAGATGATGATGTCACTCAAAAGCTAGTATAAAGTGCCATCTTACCGAAACGTCAAAGCATGGACATGATGGATGCATGATGTCACCCTATCTGGTCACCTTAACCTCACAGCAAACTTACCTGAGGTACCTAGGGAGACACTTCCAAAATGATAAAGTATAGGTACAACAGAAGGGGGAAACCTTGAGGTTCTTTAGACAAGCTGTGTGTGGGGTCTTACCTCCATTGTATGGGTTTTACCACTGGACGTCTGGCCATAGGCAAATATAGTTCCATTGTACCCTCCAAGTACATCTGAAATGAAAAAAATAATTATGCTAGTGATATTTTTTACTGATAAATACTTATATGTACTTAATGCTACTTAGTTGACAGAGATAGCAACACAGCTGTCCAGCCATCACAGTCCTTGTCAATCGTAAAGTTTTATTTGAAATTATTATTTGAATAGGTGAAACCCAAAATATGATCACCTGGCATGTGGGGACATTAAAAAGGACAGTTTCTACATGCAGTGCTAACATGTTTCTACATGCAGTGCTAACATGTTTCTACATGCAGTGCTAACATGTTTCTACATGCAGTGCTAACATGTTTGTGGAGGAAGTTTCCCACATCGTTAGTGATTTACAGACACACACGTTAGTGATTTACAGACACACACGTTAAGAAATATACCCGGTATTTGCAAACATAATATAATCGGGCTGTGACGATCTAGCTGTTAACTTGATGAATTGTAGAAATGGGCTTAGATAATGTATATGTATGACTGTTGCAAAATCAAGGACAGAACCACCAACTATATTTTTGTATAAAACTAACTTCAAGTCGGTAAATTGCTATTTGCACGTGCAAGTAAGGATGCTGCTTTTTCATTAGAAATGGCCTGCATACAATTATATAACTACATTATATATTGTGCTTTCCCATGTTTGATTATATATAATATATAGCATAGGAAACATTCTTTTTTTAATTAAGATGTTTTATAGTGTGCTAAAAGATTCACTATTTTCTCCCAATATGATTAACATCTTAAACGGAATTTGTAAGAATTTGATTTTCCATGAATTCAGAAACAAACAAACATCTTTGGAAAAAAGATAACATTTTCATGGAAATTTTGTAACCACAGCCTAATCACAGGTTTAAGAACTTGAGTTTGTAAACAAAACACCCAAAAAGTGGTAATCTCAGGGTTGGTAACTTTCCAGTAATTACTTCCACCTGTGTTTACCAAAGATTCTTCAATCTCTCCATATCTCCAGAGACAGACATTTTACAGCTCAAAAAATCAGTTATAAAACTAAGCATTGCTTGAAGTGATCAGCTATGTACAACCCTGGCTTCACATTAAACCACGTGCACCAGGATCATCCTTTACATCAATAACAAGTTCTACAACACAACATGTGCCAATTTCAATCCAATTTTACACGTAAACCTAGTCACAATGTCTCATCATGGTGCGGACCATGTGAAGTTTATACTACTCAACTCTTCTTCTACCTCAACATGAATATTATCCATACTGTATTACTTGTGTGAAGCTCATACTTGAAGCAGTCTACCCAGAGTATCTTCAATGTGGGTTTGTTTTCCTTTGAACTTTTGTGCCTTTATTGTCAAATGACTTGGCCCATCCTACAAATGTACATGGCTACAAGCTCATTGTATTGTATCTGATCAGTACAACGTGTTGTTGATGTTGTTTATATTTACACAGAACTTAGGTCATAAACTAGAATTTTGTTTTTGTGAACAAAAGCATATGTCTCCCCTTATTAGCCAATAGAAAAACTCTGGTATAAAAAAATAACAAAGGGCCATATCGCTTTATATAGTGGGGCACGAGACCCGAATTTAGAATGCGACACTCCTACTTCCAAAGATAAATTAAAACTTTAGCAAGTTTGGTGAATATAGGTGAAATAACATTGACTTTATGCCTTGGACAAACTTCGGTATTAAAATTAAAAAAAGGGTCATAACTCTGTATATAGTGGGGCACGATACCTAGTTCCAGTGCACTGCACACCTTCTGTGGGTGATGCAGGTATATTTCAAGTTTGATTAAGATATCTTTAATGGTTTAGAAGTTATGCAGTGGACAAACTTTGAATAGGCAAGCTAAAAATGTCCTTTCTTCCTGTTCTGATCTTATTCTTGACAAATCAATAGACATTTTAATGTGTGGAAATGCATTGTAAAATTTGATATATAGCATATTATTGATCCATGAGAATACAAAAAACAAGAGGCCCAAGGGCCTTAGCGGTCACCTGAGTTATATCATAGATACTGGTAGCTTTATTTTATTGTTTAGATGTGATGTGGAAATCAGCATGTAAACTAAGTGAAATACAATACTTGTCATGTCATCAATGGATAAGAATTTGAAAATATTGGTAAATGTTCT